TGGGAAGGAATGGATCTTCAATGGAAGGCATGTTCCCAACCAGCTTCTTCCTAGATTCTGGCCTACTGGTTGCCCATCAAGTTGCACCAGGGGAGGTTTAGACTGGGTATTCCTCCAGAAGGAAGGGCTGTCAAGCACTGGAACAGGCTGCCCAGGGAAGTGGTGGAGACCCCAGCCCTGGAGGTACTTACAAGACATGGAGTGTGGTGCCCAGGGACATGGGTTAGTGGTGGACTTGGCAGTGCCAGGTTAATGTCTGGACTTGATGGTCTTACAGATCTTTAAGCAAAGGGCATCAGGAGCTTCCTATGGAGTGTGCAGAGAGGACAAGACATCTTCAGGGATGCATCCAGCTCGGTGTTAAGGCCACCAAGACCAGGATCTGCGGGAGAGTGGCATGTTCTTGACATGGATGTGTTTTACTGTGCAGGCATGGGCACACAGGCAGGGGCTGGCACATAGCTCACAGAAGGACACAAGCATTGCTTGTATCTGTCGGGGTTGGGTTTGAATCACAAAGGATGCTCTCTGCTAGGAAGGGATCTCCATTTCTTCTTGTAGGCAGACAGAGGTTTCAAAGCATCTGGATTGGATGTGCTCCTCTGAATAGAGATAGGAAACTAAGCAAGGCACAGGGATGTGCACTGGGAATGACCCATATGGGATGAGGAGGTTGCAGGGAAATGCAGTGAAGGGTCTGGAGGATGGGAGCAGGGAACATGATTTCCAGTTCCAGAACTGACCCCCATGGAGGGCACCCAGTGCAGCCACCAGGCAGCAGATAGGAGGTACTTTTTCACTCAGCACCTGTTTAAACTGAATGTCATTTCCCCAGGATATGACCTCAAAAATATCACCTTTAAAAGCTTGAGATAAACACAGACAGGATTGGTCTGTTCTGACTGGTTCAACATGATGGTCCAGGACCTCTGGCTAAGGAAGTATTAAGTCACTGACCACCAGAAGATGGGGCAGGATTATTTCCTGCTTGCCTTCTTTCTTCTACCCCTTCCAACAGACCGACACTGCCACTGGTGAAGAAACCTCTGGTTCCCAAGGCCTCTTGCAGGCTCTGCTCTTAAGTCTCTCACAGCACATGCCCACACCGTTGTTGTCTCCTGCCAAAGCTTTGCACCACTCTGTGAAAGGATTGCAACCTTAGATAAAGCCGTCTCCCTGCGTGCAGAGCACTGCCAAGCTCCCGACAGCCGGGATGCAAAGCTGCAGGCTCAGCCCAAGCGAAAAGGAACTTTATCTCCTTCCATTCGCACATCTCTTCAGAGTCCACAGTCCTGCAAGTGAGGAAGGGTGAGAAGTCGCTGGATGCAGGGCTTTGGTTTGGCACGAGATGCCTCCCTGCTCTCAGTCTGCTCAACCCACAACCTGATGGGACTGCAGGCAGCCCTCGCTGTGCTTGAGAGCCCTGGCTGGGCTGGTTCAGCACTGCCAAGAACAAGGGGAGTTTTCTCTCCCCTGACTTAGGTACTTCCTATTTTCATCTACAAGAAGGGTGCCCGGAGAAGCTGTGGCTGCCCCATCCCTGGCAGTGCTCAAGGCCAGGTTGGACACAGGGGCTTGGAGCAAGCTGCTCCAGTGGAAGGGGTCCCTGCGTGTGGCAGGGGTTGGAGCTGGTGAGCTTTAAGGTCCATTGAACCCAAACCAGGCTGTGATTCTATGTCTCTGCTTAGCCCTGTGCATGCAGTAGGTAACTCCTGCTGAGTTATCAAATCCCTGTGGCACAACACAATCGCACCGCGAAGCGCATGTGACAGATGACAGCACTGGGAGAACTTCCTCTAATTATTGCTCTTATTGCTGTTGCTATTAGCAATTAAGGCATTTGATTCAAACCTGTCTGTATTTCCAAACAAGCCCAGGGTGGTCAGACTGACAAAGACTGCTGGGTTAGCTGGTATGGCATCCTGCCTGGAGTAAAGATAATAGAGTGCTTGCTCAATGATGATGGATTGATGGGGAATTTCTCCTGGACCTTGACACCTGAGACCCTGGAGCCTGGCAAGGCTTGAGCTCTGCTCCTCTAGAGCCTGATCTGCACAAGCACCAGGGCTGTGATGTTGTAAAGAGTGGGTATTTCAGGCATTTGAGACTTGAAAGCCACACCTCGTGTGAGCCGCAATCCGGCTTTGCTGTTGCTGGTGATGCTTTTTGGTTGCCTGGAGCTCCTGCCCTACCTGGTGAAGAAACAGAGATATTTACAGCTCTGCAGAGGTGAAGGAGAGTGGGTACATTGCTCCCGGTAGGCTTTACAGCAGCAATGGAGACAAATGCTTTCATCTGGCTGTGTAAAGCGCATCCAGTTTTAGCACGTCTCCTGCTGCTGTTATTATTTCTTCCAGACCGCAATTTGCTAACCAGCTTCCAAACCAAGCAGAGGACACGATTCCTGCCCTGTGGAGTCAGGAGTGACAGGGATTATCAAAGTGTTCAGCATTAGCAAGGCTCCCAGGTCACCTGCCTGTGTTTTTATGTGTGGAAGAATGAAATTGCAGCCCTGGAGCTAAAGTCCTGTACCAAAAGCAAAAGAGCTGGCAGCAGAATGGAGCCTGTCCAGGCTGCTCCAGGGCTTTCCTGTGCCCAGGCAGAGCAATGGGGAGCCAGAATTCCCTGGGTACCCTTCCTGACTCACCCTCGCTGTGAGAATGGAGCGAAGTCATCCCATCTCCTTGCACCGCAGGGCTCTGACTCACACGTGCTGAGCCAACAGCAGCAGGGATGCAGGATGCCAGCACTCCCACCTCACCCTCCCTGCCCCAGCTCTTGGTTTCTGCCCCTCTGCCAATAGTCAGGGCCCCACACCAGCCAAGGCAATAAATAGACACGTGCCTCTGAGCCACAGCTTCTCCACGTGGGCTCCTCAGAAACATAGCCTGTGTCATCAGCATCCATCCGAGGTGCACAGGACGAGGCAGGGAGGACCAGCCTCAAGTTCATCAACTGGATCCTCTCAAATACACCCTGCAGATTCCCCATGTCTCTGTTTTGGTGGCACCAGCAGCAAAAATGCTTCCTCACTACAGTTTATAAAGGTTATAACACACTTGCAGTTGGGCCCCAAGGGTGCAGGCTCAGCTTCTGTGATAGCCCCTGCCCCTCTCAGCAATCTCAGTGCAATACCCCCAGACCCGGCTGCCTGCCCAAGGGAGGGCAGACAGGCAGAGGAGCTGGGAAGAGGCTCTCCAGATTGAAGCATGTCCCATACTGCAAAGCCTGGGTCATTGCCTGGGATGTGGGATCTTGCAAGATGGCATCAGTTCCAGGGAGCGAGGAGGGAGCAGCTAAGGGGACAGGAACCTTAAAGCTCCTCCAGCTCCAACCCCTGCCACAGGCAGGGACACCTTCCACTGGAGCAGCTTGCTCCAAGCCCCTGTGTCCAACCTGGCCTTGAGCACTGCCAGGGATGGGGCAGCCACAGCTTCTCTGGGCACCCTGTGCCAGCGCCTCAGCACCCTCACAGGGAAGAGCTTCTGCCTAAGAGCTCAGCTCAGTCTCAACCAACCCCTAAGGGGTTTTCATCACTGATCACTCACCAGTCATCACTGATCTCCACAAAGAGAAGAGACACGTTTGACCTAGCTGAGATGTCACATATTAGGAGAAAGGTGGAGAGGAAGCAGCAAGTCTTTGCAAGAAGTTGAAAACCTGGGTGAAGCTTTGGGAGAAAGAAGACTCACACACAGGGATCTCTCTGTATAAGTCCCACACGAGGCCCAGAAAGCTTCACCCCTGTGCTTCCTGGGCTCCCCATCTCCCAGCCCACTTCCATGTCAGCATCCTGAGCATCCCAGGCCTTCCAACCACAGGCAGGAGAATGTAACCATTAGGATGAGCTGGGAAGGAGGACTCACCAGGAAACCAGCCTCTCTTTATGACCTCCTTATTGATGAATCAGGGAAGATGTGGATCTGTGACATCCTTCCCAGTTTTATTCATCGTGTGGCACAGGATGTCCCAGTGCTGTTTGGGTGCTTTGCTCATGCCAAGGATGCCACAGGTTTTGGTGTGAGAAAACTCATTCTTTTCAAGGATGTTCATATGGGCCAGCATCTGTCTTAGTTTCAAATGCAACTGTGCCACCTTCCCTGCCTGACACTGTACCTCACCTGCCTGCCTTCGCGTTGGGATGGGCAAGTCACCACTTGCTTCCCACTGAGATTCCCTGGGGAACCGGACCGCTTCTTTCAGCATGTGAGCTCCATCTCCTACTCACACAGTCCATCCAGGAGTTGTAAGTGAGTAAGAAGCAGATTCCCCCCAGACTCCCACAGCTGTTGATAGCAAGGGGTAAGAGCACCTCGCTGGGGATTGCCTTTGGTCTTCTGCATCAAGCTGCACTGTCTGCCCTAGCAAGACACCCAGCCTTGACTTAGTTGCATGCAACAGAGGCTCCTCCGTGCTGTAACAGAAGCTGCTTCAGTGGCTCATTACCCTCTCATTCCACATCACCCATGGATTTGGGAGGCTTTTGTAAGCCCTGGCACCTTTCAGGAGGTGTTGCGCAGCTCGGGGCTCCCAGGTACGCTCCTCTTCGTGGAAGTGACACAATAAATGGTTCAAATTCCCAAAGAGCAGATCTGGTATCGCAGCAGTGTGATCCCTACTCTTCAGGGACATCTTGGATCTTGGTCTGACCCTGCCTTGAGACGATGCTGAATGTGTTGTCTCCCTTGTTTCAACAGGAAGAACTGATGAAATAATAAGCTGTTACGTTTCAGAAAGCACCACATTTCGTCTTTTCCCAACTCTAAATACAGGGAAAAATGGTTGATTTGGGGGAAATGTTTTATCGCTGCCTATTTTCTTGACATCCTGAATGGGATTCAGGAGGAAAATGTTTGTAAAGCAGTTACCCAAAAGTGTCCTATTCATGCAACGCTTGAACTCAATGGCAAAATAAACCCGCTAGAAGAGGTGTGACTTGAGAATAAAATTCTTTTGGACAATAAACCGGGAATTGGGGTGAAGCTTGGGAACCGAAACCCCAAGAAACGGAGGCAGCAGCATCTTGCCGTGTGCTTTTTGGTGAAAACTGGTTTCCTGGGGTTTAGCCAGCTCGGCGAGGGCTGTACGGATCAGTCCCTCCCCTGGGAAAAACAGGGTTGGGATTGGGGTGTGTGCGCGTGCGCCGGGAACCTGCCTAGGGGCACACTGATGATTTCAGGCTGCATTGCTACCCGCTCTTCCAGCTCACGCTTCCCTGCCCTCCCTCTCTGCCCCTGCCCATTTGGGTGCACAGATATAAACCCTCCAGCCAATATGTTTCCTCTGGGGGACTGGCAGGTTTGCCTGGAGGGTGCGCATGGCTCTTGTCTCATCCCAAGGCTTTCCTTAGGGACGGAGCAAGGGTATATTCTGGTGGCTGCTCCCGGTGAGCTCACACCGTGGGCACTCCTTCAGTGCTAGAGCGGCAGGGCAGGTTGCTGCTCCAGCTTTGCCTTGGAGCTCCCGACGCTTTGCCTCACCGTGTGCAAGCAGTGCTGGTCCATCCCAAGGGAAGACAGGTAAGCCAGGCTGGGAAGAGAGGTGAGCAGCAAGCCAGCAGCCACTGGGCACTCTGGCTGCTGCTTTGGTTTGTCTGTTCCTTTTTACTTCTTCTGTCTCAAACTCCTCTATCCTTCACCCTCTCTTGGCTGACATCTGCTCAGCTAGGAGATGGGATCCACCTTCACTTGGATTCTTCTTTTCCCTTATGCAACCACGTGCATTGCTGTAAAATCTTAATGCAGAGCACCAGGGATCAGGAGAGTCACTGTGCTGTGGATGAGCATGTGGAAACCCAAGATCATGAAGAGTCAAACCTCAAACCAATCTGCCTGCCATCTATTTTATTGTCTTCTTTCTGTATCTGTGATCTCTCCTGCTCTGGGGAACCAGCCAGCCTGGATTAAAGAGAGGGCATCATTAACTTGCAATTGTAAAAGAACAGGGGAGGTTTATCCACAAGTCAGTTTATCTGGTTGGGGCAGGAGGTTACAGAAGAGCTTGTTTGTATTAGTGTTACACTCCCATGTGTTCTCCCTTTGAACTTCTTCTTGGGAAGAGAAGCAGAGGAAGCTGTGGTAGCTTCACATCACTGCACAGCTATGGCAACCGCTGAACTTGGTGGTGTGACTCAGCTGACACCAGTGCAAACAGGGACTCGACTGCTGCTCCTCAAGAACCCCTCAACTGATGAGTGGTTTTAAGATGAGCTTCCCTTCCCTGCATTAGACTCAAAGCTGAAAGCATTTTCAAGGAGCAGAAAGTTCTGTTTCCCAACAGAGCCTCGGAGCTCAGAGGTGCTACTGGAGTGCTTCGTGTCACCCCGGTACCCGCTCATTCTGCATGGGTTAATTCAGCACAGTCCAGGCAGGGACTGAACTGCTCAGCTCCAGGGAGTTTCTGCAGCTCTTGTGTACCAAATACACAGCTGCCAGGGTTCGGATGGTGCTTCCAAAGGTGGAACCCACCTATCAGCTTCTAAAAGAGCTCCAAAGTCTCAAGGATCTGAAACAAAATACACCAAGTAGGAAACTTGACCAGAACTTCTTCAAGTTAACAAAAGAGAGCTGAGAAATGATGCTTACACCGACGGTAGGAAAGTCTTTAGCATGGGGAATTAAAACAGGCAAAAGTTTAGATTATTATAGAATCCCACTTGGAGCTGCAGCTTCTGCCACTATCAGGGGCCAGGATGGGGGACCTGGCATTGGACACCCCATTTGAAGTGTGAATCTCTGATGCTTTCACTGGGAAACCAGGATGGATCTTGCATGGGAGTGCATTCAACATGAAATCACTGCCACTGAAGAGTCACCTTCCAACCCTCTGTGCCCCCAGGACTCCGGTAATATCCAGGGTCTGTGCTGGTGCTCCCGGGCTTGAGCTTTCCTGCCCTCAGGAAGATGCTGAGAAACAACTAAGGAGAACAGAGCCAATGAGAAATGAACCCTATAGAGCTGTCCACTCCCAAAAGGCAGTTCACAGCCTACAAAGTACAGGGAAGTCCTCTTGGAAGGAAGATCTGAGTCATAAAGAAAGTGAAGAGAAGGGAGAAGACAGGGTGACAAGGACAGGGCTGAAACGGGGAAGCATCGCAAGGCCACAAAAGCTCCTGAGAAGAGCTGTTAGTGCCGTGGATGGGGCTGTGGTGACCACACACCGTCTCAGGGCTCAAGAACATTTCCTGGAGTGGTTTGTCCCTCCTGCATTGTGGGGACAGAGCAGGACATCGTCTGCAGTGCGATGGGTGCTGGGAAGAGGATGAGTCTTCCATAGCAGGGTACGATGCTGTGCTTGAGCAGGCTGGCGTGAAGCGAGCGTGTGTGCAAGAGGCAGCGCGTGCCTCCACGTTCCCTTTGGGTTCAAACTAACAAAACTAACCTGCTCCTCTCCCTTCTGCAAAGGTGGCCCGACCATGCCGAGCATATTCTCCTACCAGAGTGCTGAAGTGGACTGGTGCGAAGGCAACTTTGAGCGCTCGCAAATCATTGCCGAGTACTACAACACCGTGAGTGCGGGCGCATGCCAAGCGCAGGCTGGGGCACGGGCACCCATGAGCTGATTTGGGAGATGGGATGGGATGGGGCAACCTTGTTTTCTTCCCTCTGCTCGCTCCTTTGGAGTTCCTGGTGTTGGAGGGTGCCAGTATGGCGAAGGTTGTGTGAGCTTTAGGTCAATCGTGGGACTTTTCTTGCTCACAGGAGCCAGTTGCTCACAAAAGGAGCTGGGGTCAGGGGTGCTTGTGGCATGTGTAGGGCTGAATTCCCAGTGAGAACACTGGCAGTGCTCAGCCCAGATTTGTGAGATCCTGTTATACCAGTCCTGCAGCTCTGCTGCCAACTGGGGTAAGTCCCACACAGGGCTCATATATTCCAGCTAAATGTACAGGAGTGGCAAAATGAGAGACAGTTCTTGCATGAACCGTGTCAGGCAGGTTGGGAATCCGGAACTCAAGACCAAGGAAAGCTGATGCATGAGCTGATTTCACCTCCTATAATCCTTTATAATTCAGGCTCCATCCAGTGCCAGTCCCTTGAATAAAGCTTTCTGGCTTAAGCATGGCTGGAAGCATCTGCATCTGTCTGCAGAGGACTCGGTGGATAACCAGTCTCTGCAAGCATGTCCTCCTACCTCAGTGCAATTACCGGCTAGCAGGGGTGTGAGGCATGTGGATTTACAACCTTCCAAAGGCCTTGTTTACAACTTTTAGCAATTACTGTCTAACACTAGAAGGTCTTGTTCTCATGGAAATGCATCTTCCTCTTTTTTTAAAGCATTTCCTGCTTTTAATAAATTGCCTATAATAACAATAATTCCTTTACCCGCATCCCGCAGCTCCCCAGCTCTAATTGCCCAGCCAGGCTCTCACAGGAGGGATGCTCGGGCTGTATACAGTCACTTCTCTTTGAGACAGCTAACAACTAAAGATCTGCCAGTGCAGACCAAACCCTGCATCCCCCCAGCATCCCACTGAACGTGTTGTGCTGTTGCCTGATCCAACTGCATCCCTCCTGGATGGGCTCAGAGGTGTAAAGCAAGGAGGTACAGAAAGCCTTTATGTTTGCACCAGCATTTCCTGTGTAGCTGGAGGCTGCTGTGTTTTGGGGTGTCACTGGCAGCACTGGAGAGGGGCTGATTCCCACACAGAGCAGGAAGTCTGGAAGTTTTGGTTTGAATCAGAGTTCATTGTGGGAGGTGAACGTGCCTCACCTCCTGCCTTAGTACATAGGCAGCATACTTCAAATGTGTCTCTGGAGCTGAGACACCAGTTTCATAAGGATCCTGATTTACACAGAGTGGTCAGGATCCTGAACACACCAAGAAGCATCTCTGGAGCTCTCCATAATGCGCGTAACTTGTAGGCATCAGTTGGTGTGGCCAGATGCATAACTATCTTTCTTAGGGCCCACAGCCCTCTCATTCCCATAAAACATTAACTCATAGCTGCCTAGGTTGTTTTGTGGCCCAGGTTTCTGTATTATATAGCTATTCCTGAAAATCCTACCCAGGTGCCTATTGTGGACTGAGGTCCCTGCTAGCCACAGCCATCTCCCATGTTTCCATACCACACCACCTTCGAGGCAGTGGGCTTGTCAGGGGGGCTTTTCAGTTGGTAGGAATGAGACACAGCTTTCCTTCAGGAGAGGAAAACTTCCCCAGTGCATGTTTCCATACAAACTAGTGCGATGGCCAGAAACACAGAGACACTGGGACAGAGCAAACCCTGCAGGATGTTTTACAGTGATTAAACTAGTTCTTGTTCCTATCTACATATGAACACAGGATATCTCTTTCCAATCAGAGAAAGAGCTTGTTTTGGTCCCTGCACTTACCTCCTCCTTGCCAGGCTGCTTTAACCAGTCCACGTTGCTCAGCAGAGTGCAGGCACAGGGTACCACTTCTGCAGCTTGTCTTAACATGAAGTTTCTGTTCAGAGAAAGCAGCAGGAGGAGAGCTCTCTTCATGCTCTGGGCTCTCTCACAGGATCAGGTTCCTTGTGATGTTCCCTAAAGGGGGGAACCACAGAAACTGGACCAAATTGAGATCCCCAGCTATCCCTGCTACCAGCAGCATGTTGCAGATCCAGGGATGTGTTCCTCCCAGCGTAGATTTCTTCTCTCTTCATTTGTTTCCTATATTCAGATTGCTTCCTCCCTGTGGCAAGCTTTATGGGCCTTATCTCACTGGCCTGCCCTGAGATAATTATATCAATATTGACTTCAGCATCAGTTAACCAGAGCTTTAGACTGGCTGGGAATCCAGCCAGCTCCTACCCAAGACTCCTGCACCACTAAATCAGCAGGGGTTCCTAACGGAGCATCCTCTGCAACATCTTCTTCCCAGGGCTCAAGCAGGGCAGCTTTGTGCTGCTGAGATTTGCTCTGTGCCAGCCGCACTCTCTCTCAGGTCTGCTTGGGTTGGATGCTTTTTATGAGACATAAGCACCGAGGGTATGAGCAAAGAATGTAAACAGTATCTTTAAGTACCTAATAATACACAGTGGCTCATGACTGGGTGCAGCTCAGCGACAAAGCACTATTTATAGTGACTCAGTGACCCAGAAATGTATTGTCTTCTGGATGCTCACAGGAGAACCGTATTGTGCTCCACGAGGGTCATCAGTCTGGGAATTGTCTTTCTACCATCATTTCTGTCTGAAATGACTGATCCAGGGTGCTGGTAATGACACCTGAATCGTCAGCATCGCTCTCAGTCTGCCTAGGAAGCCACATGCAGGAGTATGGTAGCTCCTTGCCTGGCACTCTGCAGACACTACACAACTGCTGCTTCCTGCCCAAAGCACCAGCATGACACACAGCTTCATCTTCTGCTGGGTATTAGGAACTTGCTGTACAGGTCTGGAGAGCCTCAGAGGTACTCACTTTGGCCCTGTGGGCTCTTCTGCCAGCTAAAGCTGGTTGGCTGGCCTGTAAGTGAATGAATGCACTGCAGTGAGTCTTGCAGAAGTCTCCTTTCACTGCAGAAAATGCCTCCCTTGTGGCAGGACCAGCACATGCCTGGGCTGCTGTTGCACTGCTGCCATGCTCACAGGGCCAGGTAGAGCCCTGCAAACCAGCAGCTCCCCTCCCAGTCCTTACTGGAGGCTTGTTCTCACCCTGGCATGGGTAGAGATGCAAACAGGTTCTCTGCAGGTCTCTCCCTCCATCTTAGGCTGCAAAGTGCTGAGTTGCAGGAACCCCGGGGGCCTTTGCAATGATCCTACTAAATGCAGCAGGATAAGAGGCATGTCACTGACCCCAGTCTCCCTTTTCTCCTAGTGAAAGAAACAAATCCCAGTACAGGCAGGCTCAGCTTAGGGATCTAGAGCAATAAATCACACTTGTTAGGAAGTGGAGCATCACTGTGGAAAACCACAGAGCTGGCTGTCAGATCGCACCTCAGCTCCATCACCACTCTCTTATCTCCCTGGCACCCCAGGCAGAGGGAGCCGGTGCCTCCTGGTTGGTATGATCAGGTATAAGAAGAAGCTGTGCTGGGGGACTCAGAGACTCTGCAAAAGCTTCCTAAAGGGAGAACAAGGAGCAACCTCCTCCCAGCTCCATTTGAGAGGGAAGGTATAAGATAGCACTTAAATCAAGGCTTGGATTCCATGAGGGATGAAGGCTCTGTGTCCTCCACAGATGTGGTTTTGCAGTGGCTCTCCCCTATGCTCTGAGTTTGGCTGCTCTCCAAGGAACCACTTTATCTTTTTGACCCTATTGGTGCAATTGCCCTGATCATCCCTCCCCTCTGATATCTGATCTTGCACATCTCATACTGAATTAATGAAGTGATAACATTGCTATCAGGTAATTAATGTCCCTGTTGCAATGCCCGCTGCAGCGGGGATCCAGAGCTCTCAATACGCAACCTCAGACTCCCGCATTTCCTCACGCTGATGTGCATGCTGGCACTTGCACGCTGCTGCCTCTTCTGCAGGCCTTTGTTCTCTTCCTGCCATCCCTGCTTGTCTTCCAAAGGCCTCTTTAACCATTTCCCAGGAAAAGAAGTGTTTGCAGCACAGTTGTTGCTTTAGCACATCGTTTGGTTTCTCCATCATTTCTGAATGGGTTGAACTCAAGTGTGCAAGGGGGAGCAGCACTTCCCTTTTCATAGCTGGAATGGGAATAGGCCTGGATTTGCCTCTAAGAACTTAGGGAAAACCAATGGATTTAGCTTGAGAATCGCTGTTAATGGGAGCATCAACTTGTTTCAAGAAAGCCTTAGTGAAATTCAAGATTAATCTCCAGGTGTTAAAGGGAACAGAGACCTTACATTAAGCATTCTTCCCTCTGGAATATGAGAGGGAGTGTTTCATATACAGGACAACACCCCTGTGACTTGCAGCCCCGTTACCATGAACTTGGACCTCAAGGGGCATCACAAGTCAAGCATCAATTTTGCAGTGTACCTGGTGCATACAAGGGCTGCTGAGGGGTGACACTCCAGCTGGGAATGTCAGGCTTGGGGTCTGGGTCAGCATCTAGCTGGAAGATGAAAGGGAAAGGCTTGCCAGGGTGACATAAAAGCCACCTTGATGGCTTGCCACCAAGCAGATAGCTCTGCTCTGCTGTCTGGCAGGCAAATAGTAGCACCACAGCCCCAGCCCTTCATAAGCAAGAGCAGTTTTCCTTGAGGAGGCTGCTCTTCCCTGTGATATCCCTGCCCTGAGTTTGCAAAACCAGGTGAAAAAGTCAGGGTCAGACCCCATCAAGGGTGAGGATGTTTCAAACCTCATTCCGTTCTCAGCTGCAGGGCCTGATCCAGCAGCAGGGCCTGGCTACGGGCGCTCTCTGCTCCTCCCCAGCTCCCACATTTTGCCCATCAGCATCGGCTGCTCCCCAAAGCAGCAGTGCCCAGTGCCATCCCCTCCTCCCCAGGCATATCCACATCTGTCAGCAAAACCCTTTTGCAGAGCTGGAAGTCAGGGCACGATAACTTCACTGCAGGGATGTTTCAAGGGGGTTTATGACTTCATGTAATGACTAGTGTGCAGCATACCTCCCCCCTCCAGGCCAGATGGCTTTGCACATCGCACTGCAGGCCAGCACCTCAGTCCTGCCGGTTCCCACCTATGATGTGCTTCTTGTCCTGCTGCTCTCCATCCCCAGGGATGTTTTTCCTGACTGGAAACTCATCCTCACACCCACCCAACCCCTCGCAGGCTGAGAGGGTCAGGAGCAAGCCAGGGGACAGGTCTGGGTTATAGGAGAGGGAGATGGCTGCCAACAGAAGAGCTTTGGGAGCTTGCTTGAGGACACTGGGCAGCTAAAGCTAAACCATCAGCCAAAAGAGGTGCCTGCATGGGGAGCACGGATGTCTGCAGCCATTCCTGTCACAGCAAGAGCTGTCCTTCCAGTTCCAGCCTGGCTTCTTGAGAAACGCCTCTGCTCTCTCCCTGTGCCAAGAGTGATACCTGCTTCCATGCAATGCTTTCCACTAGTATCCTATTCACAGATGGAGATCCCGAGGCACGGGGTGGGATGGAACTTGCCCAAGAGCATGCAATAAGCTGAATGTGCCTCTTGTTTTTCAGATCAGCAATGTAAGCTTCTTCATCCTTTCTCCTGTCCTGCTCTACCTGAACCGGCAGTACTGTCAGCAGCGTGCCTTGCCCTTGTATCTCGTCTCTGGCCTGCTCTTGTGTGTAGGTGGGTGCCAAGGTTGTGAGAAGACCAGACAGGTTGCCAGAGTACCTGCCTGCTCATTCATGACACCTCTGGAGGCTGGTTCTTAGTGGCCCAAAGGACAGGGGCGAGATGGAGTAGGGAATTGAACTGCTTGAAGCTCTGCAGCTCATGGTTCCTGCTGTGGGTGCACAGCTTCCAGGGCAGTAAACCCCATGGCGCTGTGTGCACTGACTCACTCAGGCCTCCATTAACACCGAGGTCCATGCCTTGCTCTTCAGGAAAGGTGTGTCTTTAGGAATGGCCCCCAAGAGCTTCCCAGGCCAGACAGGCTCACGTGAGGATGGAGCTTTGCTGACACAAGTTGTCCTTTGCTCCTTGCAGGAATCTTCTCCACGTACTTTCACATGACCCTGAGCTATGTTGGACAACTCTTGGATGAGCTCTCCATCCTCTGGACGCTGGCTGTGTCATATGCAGTTTGGTACCCAAGGGTTTACTTCCCCAGGTGCATCAAGAGCAGGTATGACTCTGAGGGATGAAGGCTTGCAGGCTCTGAGGGCATTGATGCCTCTGACCCACAGCCAGCTCCCCTGCAAGGGGTCAGCGCTGAGGCTACTGCAGTTGCTTTGGGATCAGACCCTCCATCAAGCAGTGGTGGATGTGCTGACAGGGGGAGAGTAAGAAACCCTCCCCTGGGGAAGGGCTGTGCTGAGCTCCTGTTGACTGGAGCTGTTTGTCTTTGGGAAGCTGCAGAGGAAGCTTTGCATGGAGAATTTCAACATTCATTAGGAAATTAAACATTCCTGAGCACTTCCAGTCAGTGCTGTCCAACTGTTACAGCACCCCTGCCATCCACAGAGAGCTCCTGAGGGCTGAAGGGGTTTCCCATAGGACAAGCTGGTGCAAGTTAACACCCCACATGTCACAGGTTGTTTGCAGGAGGGCTGGCTGGGCAAGGGGAGCCCAGCAGGAAGGATGGGGACACTGGGTGAGCACCGATCAGCAGGACAGGAACCCAGCCTTGCAAAGACGTGCTCCAGCCTGCTCTTCCCATGCCAAAGAGGAGGTCACCAGGAGTTCACTGTGGAGACATCGTTGGGGGAGAAGGGAAGGAACTTGGGAAGGGATTTGCATGTGAAAGGCCCCTCTGAGTCCTATTGTTGCTCAGCCAGCCCAATTCTGCATGTTTCCAGCTCAGGCCCCTGCCCAGCACTGCTGGGACTCCTACCTCACTGCCCTTCCCTGGGCAAAGCGCCCGGTGCCTTGGCCTCTCAATGGTTATCTCTGGCATCACCATGGAAGTGCACAGTTACCTTCAGGGCCATGTTGCCCACTCGGTCATGGAATAACTGGGGGAGTTTGGGCAAAGCAGAGCTACAGACAACTCAGCCTTCCTGCCAGGACTGCTGCAGAGGCTGAGGTCAGCCATGTGCAAACAGACTGGAGGTGCTGGAGGTTTCCTCTCTCAGGCTATAAGCAGGACCTCTCCTATCCTTATCCTTCCACACTGGGAAGCCTGGGGACAATCCCATCTCCCCAACTCTCTTTAGGAAGCATTTCTTCTGGTTGAGTGGCATCACCACCGTGATCAGCACCTTCATGTCCTTCATCAAACCAGCCTTCAATGCCTACGCACTCAACTGCATCGCCTTCCACCTCCTGTACCTGACACGGCGTGAGCTGAAAAAGTAAGGAGTGGGCTGGGGTAGGTTATCTGCAGGCCCATCACATCTCCTGCCAGGCTCACACGAGGCAGTGACTCTGTGCACAATGGTGAATCCAGCCCAAGATTTCATCACATGTTCAAGCATCAAGCACATGTTGTGCTATCAGCAGAGAACTGGGGCAGCCTGGGTGGGACAAGGATGAGGCACAAGCGGGGCTGTGGGCAGTTGGGATACCAGAAAGCCATCTGGTCTGGGTACTACACAGAATGGGGACAGTCTATGGGATGAGTGCATCTTCTCCCCAGCTGCCATCTCTGCAGCCTTTTCCCCTTTGTGGGGCACTTGGGAAGCAGTGGGGTTGGTAGAACCCACCAGGATAAGGAGGAAGATAGGAGTGACTTGGCATCTCCCAGCATCATCCTCACGCACAGGAAGTCAGAATCCCTCTTGACAGAGCCACACTTCTTGTGGTCTGATGAATATTCTCCCAAACTCCCTGGGGTTTGCCCTGACACAGCAGCATGTGCAGGCAGGAACCAGTCCTCTTTAAGACTCTTTCCTTCCACCATGACACTCTGCTTCCTCTCCCTCCCTGTGTCTTCCAGGTGCAATGACAGAAGGGTTCACCAGATGGCCAAGGTCATGGTCATGTGGTGGGTACTGGCCATCAGCAGCTGGATCAGTGACCGGTGGCTCTGTGGGCTCTGGCAGGCCATCAACTTCCCCTATTTCCACAGCTTCTGGTAAGGGCTCCAGTGCACAGGCAGGAACCCCAGGCCACACATTTCAAGGGCTGAAGGGCCATTGCTAAGGGGAAACAGCAGCAGGGATGAGATACTGGATCAGAGAGCAGCCTCTGCCCAACCTTCTCCCCCCCTTCCTCTGTTATTACTGATGCTGCTCCTCACCCTGGCCCCAGCCCAAGGATTTGGTCCTAATTACTGCTTGTCATCCCTTTCCTCCTCCACACCAGCCAAACCGTGTTTTGCAAGTGTAATTGTTCTGCAAGTCCCTCCAGGTAAGCAGCTTGCATCTGCTCCCTGGAAGCTGCATGAGGTGCAGTGCTCTTGGAGTTATTTTAATAGCCAAACTGAAAGACAGTGATTTGCTTGGGCAACACATTTCAGTGCCTGGCCAAGCGTGGCTCTAAGTGCTGCACACAGTGTATGTTCTCAGATTCATCCTCACAGAGCATTGGGATGACTGGGACAGATACCCAGCGCTGGGGGTACCCACAGGCAAGGTGGGATGGGTGCTTCAGTTTGGGGCTTAAGTCCCCTGTATCACCCATTCACTCTGCACAAGGAACTGCTGCCACCCAAGCACAAAGAGCTCTTGTAGGACCCACATTCCCTGCAGCCCAAATGCATCACAGGGCTGGGACCTTTACCTGCCTTGGCTCTAGCCTCATGGTGCCAATGCCAGCCACACACTGCTGCAAGGTACAGGAGGAGCAGATGAAGTTGCCACCATCCAACAGATATCCTTCTTGTTTCCTTTCCAGGCATGTGCTGATAGCCATGTCCCTCCTCTACTGCTGCCCACTGGTCATCTACTTTGACGTCAACTACGAGATGCCAAAGTTCAAGCCAAAGATAGGATATTGGCCCAGCGACTCTTCGCGTGTCGTGGTGCCTTACATTATCCTGGAGGAACCCCACAAGCAGTGCTAGAGCTTGTGGCATCCCTCAGGCATTCCTCAGGCATGGGGTGAGTGATGCACGCATGTGCATCTTCATGGGGAACACCTCGGCTCTGTGCCTGTTCCTCGGCCAAGGGCAATGTGGCTAACGATGGGGCAGGGAGCACCTGAGGCCTCATGGTGCCGGGCATGGAGCAGGGGGGGAGTCCACAGATGCCTTGGAAGACTCTGCCCAGGCTGGCTCCAGGGAACCAGAGATCTCCTCCTCCAACAGATCCCCACTGAGAAGGGGAGGGAGATGGTGCTTCTGTGGCTTCTGTGTTAGTCAAGTGGTGGCACCCTTTGCTGACAAGGGCAGAGTGGAGAACACAGAAGCCAAACTGGTGACAGCTGGGTTTGTTGGGGCTGCTCTCATTATTATTATTATTAATTCTATTTATTGATGTATGTGGTCTTGCTCAGGAGAGCTGTGCATTAAAGCTATGGACACAGACTTGCACGGAGCCCCTTTCTTCCCCCTGACTGCACCACATCCCCTGTTATCAGCCAGTCCTCCCCAAAACAGGGTGGCCAAAGCTCTCTCTGACCCATGCAGAGCCACTTATAGAGAAACCCTCCTGTGTGACAGCCCAAAAGAAGCTCTGCTGGCCCAGGTCCTGGGGTGCTCTACCCCATCTTCCACCTCCAGTGTTCCTACCCAGCTCTGCTCCAATGGCCATGTGCAACCTGGAGCCTCCTCTGCTTGCTGAAAGGCTGGTGGCAGAGATGCACTCTTGTTCTCCAGGCCTTGCTGCACGACACACCGTGGGGCTGGGTCCTCTGAAGAGGCTGGCAGGGTGGCTGTGGTTTCCTCCCTGCAATGCAGCCAGAACAAGGTAACATCAGTCCAGGGTCCACAGGCTTTTTGGGTCCCTGAGAGTAAAGTTATGGTGTTCAGTTTTGGTCCCCACTATACAGAAAAGGACGTGGATAGGCTGGAAAGGGCCCACAGAAGGGCCATAAAGATGATCCAAGGGCTAGGAAGCCATGAGAGGAAAGGCTGAAAGAGCTGGGACTGTTCAGCCTGGAGAAATAAAGGCTGAATCCTTCTCACCATGTTTGGTATTTAAAGGGTGGTTACAAAGATGGAGACTCCCTTTTTACAAGGAGTCCCATGTTAAAGATGAGGGGTGATGGGCACAAGTTACTCCTGGGGAGACTGCCCACAAGAGGAAAGCTTTTCACCATGAGAATAATGAGCCATTGGAATAATCTCCCCAGGGCAGGGATTCCCCAACACTGGACACTGTTAAGATTCAGCTGGAGAGGGTGCTGGGACATCTAGGTTTAATCATGGAAAGCTTGGACCAGATGATCAACTGTTCCAACCTGGTATTCTATGATTGTATGAGTAAAGCAAAGCCAGAAGCACTCTGGGCTTAACCTCTAAGGCACAAGATGCTGTGCAGGTGCCACACAGCGCCCATGCAGTGGCCCTGTTGCCTCGTGGGTCCCTCTGCAATGGTCCCCAGAGCCACTAGATGGCAAATTTGGCTCATGAACCCCATGAGCCATATTTCATCTTGGGGAAAGGGATGCCTTGTGCAAGGACTGAACCCCCAGGCTCCTCTGCCTTCTCCATCCCCCAGCACTGGGGTCGGACACCTCTACCCCAGCATGGCCATTGATGAGACACCTCACAAGGTGCAGGAAAAGGGGGAACTCGGACCTCCAGCCTTTTTCTGCCCTTGCCACCCATGCTGGTGCCCATCTCTTCACCTCTTTGTCTGCCCTGCGTGCTGTCACTCTTGCCTCTCCCCTCATCACCCTGTCTCCCTTTCGCTGACCCTCCCTGCTTCGCTCCCTCTTGCTCTCCCCCTCCTCACCCCTTCCCCAGCCCATCACATTCTTCTACAGCCTATTAATAACTTCTGGGCAATTGCACCGGGTCCCCGCTGGGCTCAGCCCCTCGCTCGGCTCCGTCCCGCGCAGCCACTGAGCGCGCCGGCAGCAAGTTCAAAAGTGCAGCGGGGCTTTCACAGCCCCTCTCCCCGTCAGGGGGTGGAGGAGCCTGCTCGCAAAGAAAGGCTGCGTTGCCAGGGAGCCTGGCACAGGAAAAGGGGGTCACCATCACCTCCGACAGCACCGCTGGCGATGGACAGGAGCCAGCAGCCCCGCGGGATGGGGATGCTGAGAGAGCCACGAAGGGATGGCGGATGAGGCATGGGCGAGGAGGGCTAATTGGCTGCCTCTGGCCATGGAACTGGTGGGATGCTCGGTACAGAAAGCCCAGCAGCACAATCCCCTGTGCACTATGGTAATAAGGGAGGTGTCCCGGGCGCCGCTGCCTTGAGAACAATGTTGCTGCAGTTGAGTGACTGTAACAGGCCCCGATGACAGCCAGGGCCGTGTTAAAAATGCCTATTCAAGCAGATCAAGACATTGAGAGGCCTCGTGGGGATTTGAAACCCTCAGGGATTTCTGGATGAAGCCAGAAGTTGAATCCCCAGCCCTGGGAACCTGGGGGGGGGGGGGGGGGGGCAGTGGGAAAGAAAGAAAAAAAGAAAGAAAAGAAAGAAAAGAAAAAAGAAAGAAAGAGAAAAGAAACCCACAAAGCAGCTTTAAAAGGACTGCAGTGCCTGAGGCAGGGCCTCCTGCTCCAAGCAGGGCTCTAGCCTGAAAAGGCGAAGCAGCCCTGACACCAGCGTGTGGCTGCGGTCTGGGTGCCCCCAGCACTGCAAAGATGTTATCCAAGGCTGGGGTTGCACCTCCAAAAGGTCCCTGAGCTTCTGGGGATGTTCTGTCCTTCCTGCCAGGAAGCCACAGCTCCAGCACTGCAGAGCTGACAAACACCCCCCAAAACCCAGTGGTGCTGTCATAGAACCAGAGAACAATTTGGGTTGGAAGGGCCCTTAAAGCTCATCCAGTCCTTCCACTAGACCAGGTTGCTCCATGCCCCTTCCAACCTGTTCTGGATGTCCTGTCAAAGGGATGAGTCCGAGGCATTTTGCCTTGAGCTGAGAGGGCTCCTGCAGGGATGACCAGCGCGTTGGATGGGTAAAGCTGGGAGCCCTCAGGGGATGAAAGGCAACACTGGCCCCTTCTCAAACCCTCCAGACCATGAGGAGCTCTGAGAGTACCTTCTGCACCGGGCCCCTTGGCCTGTGGGTGCCTCTCCTCTATGGGGGTGAACTGCTGGCTGGCTCGCTCAGCAGAGCAACACAGGAGAACAGGCAGGGCAGGATAAAGCAGCAAACCCGTGTGCTCTGGGATCTGAGCTAGCACTGGTCAAAGTGAAACCTTTCCTTATTTTTGCCAGATGAACCTGGATTGTTTCCATGATTTGGTTCTCCATGTGGCTGCCTAAACCACAAAAAAAAAGAGGCAAGACAACGAGGAAGAGGATAGAGGCTGCTCCTTTCAGCTGATGCCAGATGAAACAGGTTGTGAAACCATGGCATCAGTTGAGTCTATTTGGTGCCATTGCAACACAAATGAAGTAACACTGTTGATAACACACCAGTCCTGCAGCATCAAGGATTAACACTTACCTGTTCTGCTGTGCCGAGTTGCCTCCTGCTGTTACAGATTTACATTGCAGGGCTTGGCTCGCAGGCTGGAAACTTTTCAAGGCGGAGTGATTTATCTGGAAAAGACATTGCACATTCATGGGCCTGCATAAATAATGCAAAAGTAATTAATAATAACCCAATCCCTGCTCTTAACAATGCCAGGAGAAGAAATTGCTTCACTGGAGTGTCTCTTATGTCTTTTGCAAAAGACCTTTAGTCGTTAACTGTCTCAAAGAGAAAGAAGATAATAGTTCTGAAACATGGAATGGATGTTGCTAGGTCCTGGGATCTTATTGCCAGCCTGGCAATCTTTATGATTGATCGAAAGAACCCTCTGCTGGAGTCATGTTAAACCAACACCGATTCAGCTTTGATTTTAGTTCTAATCTCCCAAGCCTGCAGCCAAAAGTCTGAATGCAAAGGGTTCAGAAATCCAGGAAGGAAACAGATAAGCTCCAAGAATTACTATCTCTAAATGCCTTGTCTTTTCAACTCGAAGTGTTATTTCTGAGGCTTGACACAGGATTTCCAGCTCAGGGGCTGGTACTTTCGTTACACCAACCTCACAACTGCTAGGAAAGAGGTTTCTTGTTTGTTTTCATTGTATTACCTACATCCTTGCTAGCCACTCTTCATATCAAGCTAAATTAAGACATTAGGACATAAAGAGATGCCAGGATTTTCCAGATACTGGTGCTTGCTCTGGACAGATGAAAGGTATCAGGTCCTGATTAGCTGCAGGTTGTACTTCAGTGGATACGCTGTCACTGTGATTGCAGCAGCCAGGGTCTTGAGGTCCCCTGCCTATGTCTTTCTGTATTAGCTCACACGGTGGCTGCACACACAATCAGGGCCGGTTTTGAGCCATCGTTGTAGAGGAGACGTGGGTAAAAGTTGCTTCTCAGCAAGGAGAAGCACAGCCATTAAATGGCCAAATAAACCAGGTGACAAAAAAAGAGCTTTTAATCAAAAGCTCAAACAATCTCTATTTCTCTAAACCCCCCCACGATTCGGTTCCCCTTAGTAGGCCATTCTCATTGCTGTTCTGAGGAAAAACAAGCAGCTCCCATTTGTCTGACCAAGAGGTTGAAACAACTTCAATTCTCTAGTAATGGCTGCTATCAAAATACCTAAACTGGAAGGATTAATTTTTCTGTGCCTTCCCATTACAGCTCAAAATGTGGTTCCAATTAGGACCGCTCTCTACTTTTTATTATTCACTTTCTATGAACATTCAGTCAGTCGGGTCCCAGGTCACGAAGCTCACTTAAGCACATGGGATTTTACAACCATGTTTAAACATAAAACTGAACTGGGTTGGTCTGCACACTTGGTTTCAGCCTTGCAAATGTCTCACAAAAGGCAAAGATTTAGCTCAACTGCTCAAGTACTCACCAAAAGCAACACTCCGTTGTGCACTGGGTTATAAAACTCAGTCTACGATCGATGCTGCTTTTATTTTGATAGGCATTCCATAGGAGCCCAGCTGTCTCCGTTCACTACAATGTTTAAGCATATGTTTAATTTTAAGAATAGGAATAATTCCATTGATATCAATGGCATTTGCTTACACTTAGGAATATATTTTGCTAGGCTGGAGCCACAAGTAGTGCCATGTAATGCCAATAAAGTGCAAACTGCAATATTTTCCTAAGTGCTTTATGGAACCAATTTAAAAAGTAATCAATGAAGAATTGTCATGTGGAAATGTACAGATTAATACGTGTGAGATTTTGCTGCTTTTTATCCTAATACTGACAGGAATTAACATCCACCGGGATAATGCCAAGTGAAATCAAAAGCAAATCTGTGAAATGAAGCAAAGATGGCAACAAGTTGAATTTATTGAGCAGGAATCATCCTACTTCAAGACTGAATCATGTACTATTGAATAACATTTACCATCCTTAGCGAAAGACACACATATGGATTAAAAGCCACTAGAACTCAAGTTCAAGTTGGGTTCAGACTTAAACAGGGGAGATTTAGGTTGGATATAAGGAAGAAATCCTTTACTGTGAGAATGGTGAGGCACTGGATCAGGCTGCCTAAGAAAGCTGTGAGTGCTGCATCCCTGGCAGTGTTCAAGGCCAGGCTGGACAGAGCCTTTATGCCACAAAACCAAGCTCCAAAGTGTGTGAGAAGTTCCACACTGCCAAGATGTGACTGCTGCAATCAGGTGCACTATTGTCTCACAGGGAGTGATAGCAGAGATAATGATTTAGGTTTCTGTGGGATAAGTTTCAGCATGGATAGGGCCAGCCAAAGTCCCTGAGTCACAAACAAATCTGCATAGCCCATACATTGGGGATTATCTGAACTGCTATTGTAACTCAGTTACCAAGATCAGAGGTGGTTTGCATACATTTATATATGTGGCAACCCCACCTCCAGTTGCTGTGTAGACAGGTGAAAGCTCATTTCATAACATTCCAACAAAACAGTTTAGTTTTGATGGAATATGTCAGAGAGCAGCCGACCCTGAAGGCACAAAAATCAGCAAGGGCCTGGAATGGCTTGAACCTGCCCGAGGGGAGACTGAGCTGGGCTCTTAGGCAGAAGCTCTTCCCTGTGAGGGTGCTGAGGCGCTGGCACAGGGTGCCCAGAGAAGCTGTGGCTGCCCCATCCCTGGCAGTGCTCAAGGCCAGGTTGGACACAGGGGCTTGGAGCAAGCTGCTCCAGTGGAAGGGGTCCCTGCCTGTGGCAGGGGTTGGGACTGGATGAGCTTTAAGATTCCTTCCAACCCAAACCACTCTGTGATTCTGTGATCTCTGACAGTATATATGTCCTATATTTTTACTTGCTTTTGGAGTCTTCAGTCCAGAAAACAATTCCAAACAGGATTTTTTGGTGCTGGTCAGACTCGCCTCCTGATCTCCTGTCGTGTCCTATATGTCAGGCTATTTTTATCCTCATCTGATATTTTTCAGTGGCCTAAAGTTATCCTGTCTAGGGTGACATTCACCAGAGAGAAAGTGGCCTCTCTTTGAGCATGCAGACGAACACCTTTCAGTGACTCTGATACCAACCTAAAGGAGCCCCATGTGAAGCAGACACAAATTTCAGCAGTGAATTGCACTCCCTCCTATTGTACAGTGATTGTTTGCTCCAGTGAGCACGTAAGGTGCCTGGGCCCATCTTCTCCAGCCTGCACTTGTGCCAGCAGCTCGTATTCAGTGTGGGACAAATCCAGCTTGTGCAATGCTCTTCGTGGCAGGTCCAGCCTGCCTTGGCACGACACAGACCGTTACATCACTTGGCCAACCCTGACCTCTGTCTATAGAGTACAAGAGAAAGGTACCGTCACCAGACAGCTGCTCAATAGCCAGGCGAAATGAATTGATAGGTGCCGATTCAGCCTGCAGTGGACCAGTAGCTACATTATAATGGCAACCTCACCTTTGGTGTTAATGAGGCCCCTTCATTAAGAGCCTTGAGCAGAGGGGTCGGGGGCTGAATAGAGACAGCCTTCGTTCTCACCCAGAAAGCTGGTCCTCCTCATTCAGAATTGAAGCACGTTGGCAGGGCAGTTTGAAGACGCTTGTGCTGCCCATGTTGCATCTGCAAGGGACATGACGTATTTGTGACTATTCATCTGGCTCTTTTCACCAGCACTAAATACACAGAAAGAATAAAATAAATTTGCATTGTGTTCCCACTTACGAAGAAAATTTTCCCTCTTCCTTCTGGTTTGGAGGGTTATTGCACATTAAAAGCCTTTTGCATTTTTCAGTAGCTATAATACGCTATAATTTCAATTTTCCTCAGGCACAAAAGAACTTAGTTAAGCTAAAGTGTATTAGTGTGGGGCTTTCTTTCTACCAAGTCCTTCATTAATAAGGGAACTAAAGAATTTCTGAGCTGTCTGTAATTTTTCCCAGATGCAGCTAGTAGTTGCTAGGAGTATCTTTTTGGCAATCAGAGTTTTTGGCTATTAACAATCTGGACTTTCGCTATACTACCCTGGTGTTAAATATGTGCTGTGAATACCGTAGTGTGGAGGGTGGGCTGGAGAAGGAGGGGAAGGCAGAGAATGGGCAAAACGATATAATTTTTAGAAGAATGAATATTTTTAGGATGAAGAGCTGATTCGAAGGAACACGCTTCCCTGCAAGGATCCTGATGAGCAAACCAGGAGCCTCGCTGCACCAGAACATTGCTGCAGAACACACTCACTCCTCGCTCACAGCTTCTCTCTCCATCACAATCTCGGTTGTCTCCCAAGCCCAACATTGAGTCTCTGCCATGAACTGAAGACAATGAAGGCTCCTGCAGTCATACACATGCTCCATGGGAGTCAGTGAAGACCACAGTAATCATTGTGCAGGTGGCGAGAAGGTGGTGAAGTGATGCACATCCAGGAGACATCTTGGGGGTCCTTCTGTCATATTTCGCATTGACAAAGAGCAAAGGCACTTGTTTTATCAGATGAACTGCCTCAAATCAAGGTTTGTGTGTTAATCTTTAAGTCTGCAGGACTATTACCCTGGGGCTACCAACAGAAGAAGGACATGGAGCTGCTGGAGCGAGCCCAGAGGAGGCCACAGAGATGCTGCGAGGGCTGGAGCAGCTCTGCTCTGGAGCCAGGCTGAGAGAGCTGGGCTGGGGCAGCCTGGAGAAGAGAAGGCTCCTGAAGGGGAGACCTTAGAGCAGCTCCAGTGCCTAAAGGGGCTGCAGGAAAGCTGGAGAGGGGCGCATTGAGTCAGTTGTTGGCACATTCCCCTACTGTGGGCCAAGCCAGATAAAACCTTTGAGTCCAAGACAAGGATCTTTGACGCAAGACTCTGGAAAGAGAAATAAAAACCCTCACAACAAAAATTAGGGAGAGCTGTCATGTTTCATTTGCATATTTGAATATGCAAATAAGAGCTGGTTCTTATCCATTGGCACTAGCCCTACTGTAGATGGCAGCAACACGGCGGATCTCTGCCAGCATAGAGTGCCACAAAGACAGGCACTAATTGGATTTGCAGACGCTCTTTGCAAACCCCCGAAGTTGCTGGAATAGGTATAAAGAAGCCGGAGCTCAGCCCCCGCTGCCTGGGGTGCGAAGGGCTCAGCTGACAGCTCCTCAGCTCGAGGTGGCCCTGCAAAACCAGACCTTTGGGGGAGCCTGGGTGGCTGCTGGCTCCACCAGCACTACCTGAACCCCTTAAGACAGTCCACAACGCTGGGCAAGGTTCTGCTCTTTGCTGTGGTTTATCTGTGGGGGGAGCTTGATTGGGCTGGAAACCATTCAGAACTGGGAATCACTTGAGGAGCAAAGGCTGCTTAAAGGAATTTCTCTCCTCAAGTATTTTCACAGCTGAATGTAAAGAGCTACCCCAGGATATCTTCAATTACCCCAATTGGCACTACTTGTCCCAGCACAGAGCACTGGGGCATTGGCTTGGAGCAGGCATCAGTGTAACAATGCCCTTATGCCAAATGTCTTCTTCTGCAGTTTTAGTGCCCACACATTGGACTGTGCACCTGAGGTGCCATGGAAGCCAAGGCACCCTAACTTGGAAGTGTCCAAGTTCTTGCTTGCATCCCACCTCAGCTGGAGGAGCAACTTGTGTCGGAACCAGCAGAGGTGACTATGGATGCTGGAGTGGAAGGGCAGTCTGGGTGAGCACGAAAACAACCATCAGCACCAGGCTGGGAAAAAATAAAGGCATAGAAAAGGTGCTGCTGATAGGAATTAAATTAAGCCCCCAAATCTAATGATGTTTCAGCCCATGTTTAGGAAAGGGAGAAATTCAGGGTCTTGTGTGTTCGAGCAACATCTCCTGCACAAGGAGAAGATTCAATGGAGCAAGAGCGGAGTCAAACCTGGGACAGACAGAGACCTTCCCAGGCCTGGGAGCATTTAACCACCAAGGGCTGTGATAAGAGTGAATGGGTAGGACTGGGAGGTGGAAAATAGAAGATTTAGACCTAAGAGTCACTTATGTGGGAATAATGCCCACAATTAAAGCTCTCAATGAGAACTCCCAGAGAAAGAGGCTCAAGGGAGAAGAAAAGAAACTGTCTGAGGAGATGGCTCTTGGGACCGCATCAGACAGAAACATGGAAAATTAAACCTAGAGCACTTAAAAGAACCCCAAATCAGGCTCTTTTTTTGCTATTGCTGTTGCTGTTAACTGAAGCGATGAAGCGTTTTGCTTTTCTAACGTCCTCTATCAGGTTGAGGAGGTGAACCGGCTCTTTAGAACGACTGGGGAACCGATTAATCCTCGCCTGTGGCGATCAGCCCGCGGCACACAGGGCGCTAGCGGCTCACACGCGGCTTTCTGACACCGATCAACAAACTATTCCAAACAGGAACGTTCCACGAAGGGAAGAATTCCTCCTCGCGTCGGTTTCAAAGGAAAATCCCCGCAGAAACAGCGGCAAAACGGCCCTGGGAAGGCCGGTGCCGCCGTCATTGAAGGTTCCCAAACTTGTCCTGCAGAGCTCTAAGCGAGGATAAAAACAAACCCCACTTTTCAGATGCAAACACCTCGCTCGGAGCCGCCGGCGGGGCCGAGAACCGCGGCACAAAGCGGGCGGGTGCTAACGAGGCCTCCGCCGGCAGCTGCGCTCGGGCCGGGTCGGTGGCCTCCGGGCCTGGCCAGCGGCTGACGGCTACCGCTGCACTGAAGGAATGCCCGGGGCCATTTGCATTGCAAATAGCCCCGCTCCAGCCCAGCCACCGCGGTATGGTGCCATGGCAGCGAACGCCGAGCTCCGCCGCGGCGGGCATGGCGGCGGCTGGAGGGCAGCAAGGGCCGGGCCCGAGAGCGGCCTGGAGAGATGAGAGGGAACGTGAGAGAAACTGAGGGAAAGAGACTGAGGGGAAAAGGACAGAGACTGAGGAGTAATGGAAACAGACAAGGAGACCAAAGGGAAAATAAAGAGAAATTGAGGAAAAAGGAGAGAAACGGAAATGGAATGAGGGAGGCTGAGAGCAGTTAAGAGGAAGGGAAAAATGAGGAAGAACATGGGAGAATGAACGGAGAGTGAGGGAGAACAGGATAAGATTAAAGGGAAATGGGGCGTTGGGAGGAAATGGACAGGGAAGGGGAAAATAAGACGGGGGGAAACGGAGGTAGAATGGAAGGAGAGGCTGCGGGAGGACAAGGCGAATCGTGGGCAGGCAACACCACCGGCTCCCTGCCCTGCCCGCTGTGCTGGGAGGTGCAGTTTCCCTTGTTCCCAGCTCGTTTGTGTAGGGAATTAATACACGGGTGAGATCCGCAGCCGCCAGCGGTAGGGAAGCGTGGGCCCAGGGAGGAAAAAGGGGCGGGCTGGCGCAGCCGCAACGTACAACAAGGCCTAAACACTCGGTCCCGTTGCCGGCCGTGCGGCGCGGGGCCGAGGACAAACCACGGAGGTAACAGTGGAACGGGCCACGGCCCCGGCCACGCCGCACCGCAACGGGCAGGGGGGGCCATCGGAGGTGGCGAGAGCCCGCTCCCTCCCACTCCCCGCTTGACCCAGCGCGGACACCGCCTCTACCCCGCCCCTTCGGCAGCCCGCCCGCTTCCGATTGGCTGTCGCTCCTGCCCGTCAGATGGAGGCGGGGCGCGGCGGCTTCGCTAGGGCGGAAGCCCCGCCTCCAGGCGTGAGGCGGCGCGGTCATTGGCGGCGGGAGGGTGCCTCTCTGGTGATGTCGGTTTCCGGTTCCGCGGGGCGGGAGCCGGGGGGGTGGTGGGGCTCCTGCCTGTGAGTGACACACAATGAGGCGAGCGGCGGCGGCGGGGCCGTGAGGGGCCGCGACCGAGGAGGCGGCGGCGGCCGAGGCGGCGGGGAGGGGGGTGGGGGGGGACGGAAGGAGGAGCGGCCTCGCTCGGAGACGAGGTTAGAGACGGGGGAAAGAGACCCCCCCCCGCCGACCGGCCAGCGTAGATCGCCGCGGCGGGAGCGAGCGAGCGAGCGGGGCCCGCGGCGCTGCGCCCAGCCATGGACAATCAGGTGAGGGAGCGGCCCCGCCGTGCCGCTGCCGGCGTGAGGCCCCTCGGCGCCGCCCCTACCCCCGGGTGGGGGGGATGGGGGGGCACGAATGGGGAGGGGCCGGGCTCAGCATGCACCGGGGAGGGAACCCCAGTCGTCGGGGGGGAATGTAGGGGTGATTCTCCCGGTGGTGCGGGGGGCATCGCCCCGCTTTGGGGAGACACCCCCTCCTCACCTCCCCTTTTAGAGGTGGGGGGTTGCTCAGCCCTCGCCCCTTCCTGGGCGGCCGCGCTGCAGCCTCGCCCGCGGCGGGGGGTGGCAGCAGCATTTCCCGCAAATTCCTGCCTGGGCTTCTCTAACGGGAGGGGTGGTTCCGGCCTCGGTGCCCCCCCCACCGCGGTGCAAAGTGTTAATGCCACCGGCGGAGTCCTCGCCGCCCCGCGGGGAACCGCCCGGTAACTGGCGGGTGGCCGCGGTGCCGCAGCGGGCGGGGATGGAGGCTGGAAGTTTACCTGAGGTGATGCCGAGCGGGCGGGCTCCGGTCCTTTTGTGTGCGGGAGCAGGTTACCTGCGAGCGGGGCGCGGGAGGGGAGCCCCGGCGGCCGCGGCATCAGCCCCTCGGCAGGGCGAGGGGGGAGCTGGTTAGGGCTTTGAGGCAATTAGCACATCAAACAAAAAGCCGGCGCAGCCTTCCGAGTGTTTGTTGCGAAGTTGAGGAGCAGACGCCTTTGTATTATTACAAATTGTTTGAATAGGAGCCTGATTTCCCTTTGTTGAGAGACACGCTTGGAAAAGAAAACCTCCATTTTCAGCGGAGCAGCTTTGGGTGTTTGTTATGTTGAGAGATCTTCTTTTCAAATGTGTTTCAACTCCTGGCTTAATTCATTGCGATTGTTAATGGGACCGATATGTGAGGCGTGTGGCGAGTACAACTTTCACTCTCAGTTAAACACTTCTCTTTTATCTTTAATTTTGTTCCCTTCCACACAGCCCCATCTGTTTCTCAGCTAAAATTTCTCAGCCGTTTCAGCTAGAAAGGCAGATTTTGTAGCCTGACAGTCATTTGCACCTCTCTGGAGAGGGGTAGTAACTGGCAACGGTAGCAGGATTTAAAGGGTAATTATGGAATCGATAACGTGAAGCTGCAGAACAGCCTGGCTCTGTTATGTGAACGCTTGCGTGAACACTGTGGGAAGTATCCCAGATAAAACAGGCCTGCAAGCCCCCTCCTCCGTGAGGTTAGGATTTAGGCAGGCTGTCTCCACATAACGCTCTTCCACCAGTGGAGAAATTGCTGTGCTTGGAGGGAAACACACCTTGCCTCTTTTCTCATTCCTTTATACACCATGAGAGACCAGACGGCCTCATACCTTCATTTTTAGGTGAGATGGAGCCAGTGTAGATGAGCCCTAAAGCAGAGAATGAGGAAAAATGGCCTTCCGAGAGAACTTGCAGAGGAAGGTAACCTAAAGAAATGTGGTAATAACACCAGTGAAGCAATTAGATGAGCTTGTCCCTGAGACTTAGAATTGATGTGTTGGATGGCAGCTGAAGGTATTTTGCTATAAATATAACTGCCTGAAAGAGCGCGTTAAGGCTTATAGTTGAAATTAGAACTGGACTGCAATTTGGGAGGTCGAGCTTTGATGCCTGGTAGTCTGTAGACCTCCTGTGTGATCTTTTTACAAAGGAAAGAATACGGCGATTGAGGAGCTTTTTCAGAAGGTATTAACCATGCTCTGAAAAATCACATTTCCAGCCAGTGTCAGGTGGGAGATGAAAAAGAATTTCTGAGCGTTGGTTGTAGCCATACTCCTTGTTGCAGTTCCTCAGTGGGAAAATGAGGGTAATACTTACCCTAAACATTTGTGTAGAGCTCGAGAAGCTTTCTCTTTCTCTCTGCATTGTCTAACATCGTGCCCTTGGCTTGGCTCAGTGTCCACCTGTAATGTAGGTAATGACAACATTGTCTCTCCCACTGGTAATTTGAACTGCTGGAAAGAACAAAACACTTATTTTCAAGTCTTAGGTGAAGAAGGAAGGGAAGGACTAAAACCTGCCCCCTTTTTCTTATAAGCTTCCAGTTGCTGAAGCTGGATTTTACTGAGTTTAGTTTGCAGTCCCTGAGCTCCTGCTTTACTTTGTACAACATGTTCCTAAGTGTTCGGATACCTTCAGTGTTATTCCCTGTCTCTGCAAATCTTGCCCTAAGATTTGCTTGCTTTAACTTGTGTCTGAATCACGTTTGCCTTTCCTCTGTTACATGTGTTTAATCCGTTTGCTTTCTTCTGACTGTGCAGTCTGCAGTAATACAGGGATCTTCACAATTAATTTAATGTGGGTTTTAAGACATTTAATGTGATTCTTGTGCTTTGAATGAGACGTTGAATACACCTTCTCTGTTATTCAGTGATTAGAGGAGGATTTGGGAGCGCAAATCAGAATTAGGTCATTTTAGTGCTAGGTAGTGTGCAGACATGCTACATGGTAACTTGGTCTTTGAGAGTGTGTTAATAAAATACATTTAAAAGACTAGAAGGCGCATCATAGTTTTATTCTAATGGATTACATATTCTAGAGAGTATCATAAACCAATGAACCAATTCATGATCCAATTTTTCATGTTTTAACATTCAATTTCTGTCAGTGCTGTGAATTCTATAAGCTGTGAACATCAAGTTCTGTCTCTGACACTTTCCAGAAATAAAGATTCTGCAATTAGGACTTAGCTGACAATTTCAATAAGTGAGGCAGATAAAGCTATTCCTCTTCTAAAGCTGTTTTCCCTGCAATGCTAATATTAGGAAGAAAATAGGTATGAAATGGTGCTAGGAGCTATTTTTATGATACCGTTTCTGTTGACAGCCCTGTAGTTTTGAGTATGAGATTAATCTATCCATGCAGGCTGTTGTATTCCCCCCCTATTCCTCCCCTGCAGTGATAGTGTTGGGGCTCAGCATTATGCAGAACATGTAAAGTATTTCATTTTGCTTATGGTCTTACCTCTGTTCTAAACCAGTGCACGGTTCAAGTAAAACTGGAGCTGGGGCACCGAGCCCAACTGCGGAAGAAGCCCACCACCGAGGGCTTCACTCATGACTGGATGGTGTTTGTCCGCGGCCCGGAGCAGTGCGACATCCAGCACTTTGTGGAACGCGTGGTCTTTCGGCTCCATGAGAGCTTCCCCAAACCCAAGCGAGGTGAGTGTGTTTCTGAAAGTGAGTTATTTGGGCTCCTGTGTCTGAAAGAGCATTGTGCAAATCAAGGTTGTCTCAGCCTGACACCTCTCTGTAAAACACCCTCTGCAAGAGGAGCAAAATGTGCTTTGTGTACACTTCAGCTGTAACCTTTACTGTCTTTGTTTGAGGAAGGTCAGGGCAAATGGGACCGTTTTTCAGATGAAAGGGCTGGAGGTGAGATGCTTTCTCTTATTTAAGCATTAGTACATGCAGATTCTCAAGACACTTAGGGACAGCAGAAGATAATTCGTGTTACAGAATGGGAAAGATGTGTTTGATTTATTAATATTAGCTAACAAAAGCTGGAAGTGTGTGATAGGTGAGAAATTCTTAAATACTGGGCTTGTATACATAGAAACATAAAATTACAGAGTGGTTTGGATTGGAAGGGACCTTAAAGCCCACCCAGTTCCAACCTCCTACCATGGGCAGGGATACCTTCCACTAGAGCAGCTTACTTCAAGCCACATCCAACCTGGCCTTGAGCCCTGCCAGGGATGGGGCAGCTGCAGCTTCTCTGGGCACCCTGTGCCAGCGCTTCAGCACCCTCACAGGGAAGAGCTTCTGCCTTAGAGCCCATCTCAGTCTCCCCTGTGGCAGATTAAAGCCATTCCCCTTGTCCTGTCCTTACAGGCCCTTGTCCAAAGCCCCTCTTCAGGTTTCCTGCAGCCCCTTTAGGCACTGGAAGCTGCTCTGAGGTCTCCCCTTAAGGGGCCTTCTCTTCTGCAGGCTGAACCAGCCCGTGTCTCTCAGCCTGGTTCCAGAGCAGAGCTGCTCCAGCCTTCACAGCATCTCTGTGGTCTCCTCTGGCCTCGCTCCAGCAGCAACATGTCCCTCTTGTGCTGTTGCCCCAGAGGTGGATCAGGACTGCAGGGGGATTCTCCCCAGAGCACAGTAGAGGGAGAGAATCCCCTGCCTGAGCTGCTGTTCATGCTGTGCTGATGTAGCCCAGGATACATGCTGGGACTGTGTTGCCTTCTGTGTTGGTCATTAAGTAGCTGTCAGTATTCTTGCAGTTTCTAATTGTAGAAACTGAACAGGCAATCTTCTGCCTGTTCAGGTAGCATTAAACCCAGCAGAAATCAATGATGCCAAAGGGGCGATGGTCTCTTTGCCACTGGGACTGCAGATTCCAGTGGCACGGATGTGCGCTGGCACCGTGCAGTTAGTGTGGTTGGGAAGAGTGTGCAAACTATAGTGTTAACTTTCTGCTGATCCATTTGTTGCTCTTTCTGACTGTGCAGCAGCATGAACCTTATTCTTGGCACGGGGCAGCAGAAGCACATGGTTGAAGTGGAAGAGCAGGAATTGCCCTTTTCAGCAACAGCACAGAGTTAGATCTGCTTAAGATTGTGTAACTCCATCTGCAGTGTTGTTCTGTAGTGTTAGGAGCAATGCTGGCTGCCCCAGAGTGTTGCTGTACATCACTTTACAACATGCATTCTTTGAAATACTTCACTGGAAGACTGTTTACACAGGATGTCTTAGGGCTTCATACTGTGTTGGTACTTGTGAGAGCCCACAGTGGAAAGGAGCTCAGTTTCCAGCTCGTAAGGGTGTGAATCTAGTCTGTGTGTTGTTAGTATCTTCTTCAAATTGATGTAGTAAAACTGATGTATGATCAGCAAATGCAATCCTGAGCTGAAAGCTGATTTATAGAATAAAAGTTAGAAGCTGCTGTGCTACAATTCTTGTCATCTGCTGTAATTACCTTATTACAAACAACTGTGTTGGGATAGTACCTGGTCTTTGCTCAGTCAATTGCCATACATTTACCTTTAAAGACAAGTTTTTTCCCCATCTCTCTGCTGTGATTTCTTAAGCTTGCTCCTAGTGCCAGCTTGCTTTTGACCAAAGTGTGTCTGGATTGTACAGAAATGCTATGGCAGATGCACACTATTTCTAGATCTGTTTGAAGGGTTTCTTCAGATGGTTTGCTCTTACTTGGAGCAGAATCTACTGGGGAAGGTAGGCTTGTGCTGCAAGCAGATTGCCTGTGTAGTAGTTTTAATTCCTTTGAATAGAGCAGCAAAGGAACAAAGGCTGCTTGGCTGACAGTCTGAAGTTTCCTGCTGCCATATTGGCACTGTTCTTTGGGGCTTTCCCCCCTAAATGATAGGCTTCTTATATGAAATTCAAGTTAAAGCAAGTCTAGAGATACTAATTATTTTTAGATGCACTCTTTTTTTTCTCACTAGAATTTTGAGTGCTGCTTCCTAGCACCTTAGTGATGGTAGAAGTGCTTCGAGCTGGGATAATGTAGCTACATCAAAGGGTGATAATTTGTGTGCTTTTCAGGTTTGAGGTAGTGTTTCCTAATCATATTAATTACTTGGGATTCTTTAGAGAAAGTAAAAAGATTTGCACTGAATTCCTCTAATTACTTAATTGACTTTATTTGCATATACTGTAGTGCATAAATTATGTGCAAGTGCATCTGGTTCTTGAGGGGGAGAATCTCTCTCTTGGTCTCCTGTTTCTTCTGGCAGATAAATGCTAATAAGTGATCCCAGAGTCCTTCATGCAGGCTGTTGCTATGCTGAAATGCAATGGTAGGAGGTGGAAAGGGTTCAGTAGCATGAGGAGACAACAGGTAGCAGGACATGGGGAACTGAGGCAGGAAGCAGCTTAATTTCTTAGAAGAGATTAACTTTTGTAATGGATGTTTCTGCCGTAAGCGGCACCGTGACCTTAGCAGCAAAGCGTTTAACCTCTCCCTGCTTCCTTGTGTGTGGAATAAATAGCAGTTCCAACCTGCCCTTCAGGTTTGGTGCAGCCTCTGGATGAGGCAGCTTGTGCTGTGGCCGTTAGGTAATTATGGAGATTGAGCATTGCGGGAGAGCATTTCAAGGGAAAAGAAAATTCCACTTGCGTGGTATAGTGTTTTGATTAAGAAATATGGACATAAAGTACATTTTACCTTTCCATGGTGGTCCAATTCCCACCTTTTGGGTCTTTGCCTTATTTTTTTTTTAATGCAAGATGGCTTTAAGTGGCGGTTTGCATTGTTGTGAACCAGCACAGCAATGTAATTGTATCTCCGTGCAAAAGGGGGGGAAGACTCTCGCCCAGGCTCTGGCATGGAGTGTTTTATGTTTCCTTTCCATGGGAGGAGCTAAGAACAGATTTTCACGTTCCTAACTAAGCCTATGCCCACCATCTTATTTTGTTGGGGTTTTTTTCACAGAAGTCACTGTTTTAATGTATCCTGAGTTGTCAGAGCCACATTTCTCATCTTGCAGCTCCTTTTTGGCTCATACTAAGTTGCATTATATTCAAAGCTAACAGTTGTTTGTTCTCTTTTCAGTGTGCAAGGAGCCCCCTTACAAAGTGGAGGAGTCTGGCTACGCAGGCTTCATTATGCCTATTGAAGTGTACTTCAAAAATAAGGTAGAATCTGATTTCTGGTCTTCTAATTGTTTTGAGCTGTGCCAGAGCCTGAAACTGCCTGACAGAAAGACTCTAAATTATGTGACTGTTTTATGTGTGTGTTTTTTATTAGTCTAATAAATAGAATTTAACTGGGAGTTGGAAGCTCCTGCCAAGCTTCAAAAGAAAGCTTTTGGCAGAAATGGAATTGTATAGAAAGGTAATATCAGGACATTGTGGTGGTCCTAGAGATCCTGAACACGTTGGACCACGTGCAAGAAGCTTCTCTAGCATGGATAATGCTAAAGCAGTTGAAAATATTTTATGCAAATAAACATAAATCACAGATTTTACAAACATTTGTAAATCCTGTTGGCAGTCAATATATTCAAAAATCAGGGGTTTTATTTGCAGTCTTATGAAATTAACTGTACAGGTATAAAATTTGTATAGGCCCAAGACAAACATTTGCATCTACAGGACAAGTATTTACAGCTATGTTAAAAATATTGTTGTTCTGATTCAGTTCTCTTCCAAGAAGAAAACACTGAATAGTTTAAATCTTAAGATGCACTGCCAACAAGTATATGCAAGTTAAAATTCAGGATTTATTGCTCGCTTTGAGTCTTGCCACAGAGGTCACACGCTACACGCTTTGGAAAAGGTTATGAAAATACGGATTTGGGCACTTTGTGTTCATATTAACTCAGTTTGGGTTAATTTGTTATGTTGAACATGAATACTAAATCTCTCTGGTTTTGATTAAATATTCTGCTGCTTATCCTAAGAGGCAACTGAGATAAAGAATTTGCCCATTAAGCCACATCACCACACTGTATGACCTCACCCCCTGCCCCTCAACCCTCCAAGCACGAGCCATTCCCCTGCTTTTGTTGACAGCAGACCACATAGAACAGCGTAAACTCTATTTAACTTCCTGGAATCTTTTCCCTTGTAGCTCCCACAAACACATCTAGCATTTCCTCCTCGCCTCACTCTAGTATAGAATATTCTCCTGGCCATGGTGTTTTGTGAATTACTCACGTTTTAGTTTGGGTTTTGGCAAACCACATTCCTTTACCCCCAGTTTATGAGTCTGAGTAATAAACCAAGTAACACGACTCAACCACAAGAAGACTTGTAAACCTGGGAACGCTTTGCCCTCAGCTTTCTTTTGGGGGGTGTGGGTGAGATAAGCCAAAAGGAGGTGAAGGCATTTAGGGGGTAGGGGGTGGAAGTTGTTGATAGAAGCAGCTTTTTGGCAAACACTGAAAACTTTGACTTGAGTGCAAAAAAAAAAAAAAAAACCCAAAAAACTTAAAAAGCTTAAAAGTAGTTTGACTTCTGGTGGCTTTTCTGAGGTTTCACATGGCAATGGGGAAACTCTTCATCTGCACTGTGTATTGGCTTAATTCGGGTTCAAAATCTGCCTTTTCATTCCTGATCAGAAACTGTGAACTTCTCCATGCTGATTTCTTGTAAGGGGAATCTCTTGATTGCTGTGCTGGCTGAACTGTGTTTTATTTCTACTATTACCTTTTACTTGCCCTTCCTTTCTTCACTCAACCTTCTCTCACACTTACCTTTCCTCTGCAGGAATCCAATGCCTTTGTCTTTCACAGGTCCTCAAATCTTGCTTTCTCATTTCTGCCTGTCCTGTATTTTGTTGTAGGTGCACTTGTTCGCATTGACAATTACCTGATTTGTGTTTTCTTTCTCTGAGCTCCTCGTGTTCCTGTGCTCCTCACAGAATATGGAGCCAGCTTTTCTGAATCTCACTTGGTTTCACACCCACCAGGGTCATCACTTCTCATTGTTCCCAAACACATGTGATTGTGCAGTTGCTCTTTCTAGTCTTAGGGATAGGATGGCTTGTATAAATAAGGGAAATAGGTGGTCTCTCTTCTTAGTGGAAATAATGGGAGTAGCTGTTCATTTAGGAGAGGGTGATTTGGTTTTGGCATTTTGGTCTTCAGAAACATAAAAAATGAATAGAATGCAGTAGGTTTAGCTGCAGACTTGTTTTCAAAGCTATAGATCTTCAAAACACCCTCTTTACCCTCTTTTTGACATGCCTGCATTATGGAGTTCTTTCCTGCTTCTAAGCTGATGGGCAAATTGATTAATTCAGGAGTTTGAGTGCACCTCCCATTATTAACTTGAGGCAAGAGGGGGCTGAGGGAAAAACATGATAGAGTCTGTCTCCCAGCACGTCATTTGAACACACATTCCCAGGTTCAACCATCAACTTGAAATACATAAACTGTGCTGAAGTTGCGTGAAATTTGCTTTTGCTGCTTAAAAAAAAGTATTTTTTCCATCCTTATGTCAGCAAATGTTGTGTTCTCTGCACATTTGGAAGCCAAGTGTGGTACTTAGGATTGCTGGAAGCTTAGACGCTGCCTGAGGATGTGAAGAATTTGGCTCCTCTGACCACGACTGCCTGGTGCTAATGCCATCTTGAAATATTAAGGGCTATTAATTCTTTTCAGTAAGTGCAGTCGAAGGAGATGTAAATACTTCTGCAAAGATAGGAACACAAAGACAAAAGATAAGCTAAGGCTGAGATATTGTAGATATGAAAAAGAATCGGGAGGAAGAGGAATGGCAAAGGCTTTGAATGCAGCCTGTTTTCCCTTGCATTAAAGAAAGTGACATTAAAGCACCAGATAAATAAAACTCTTTACTACTTTGAGACCATATGTTCGCTCTGATCTCTGTAAACCTGTTGACACTGGTGAGGATCAGCTGTTGTGCATGGAGTATATATTGTTCTGAATTGATTACAGCATTTGGGACTCATCCCTGAGTAACTCTTTTCAAGTAGCTGTTATGTATGGGTTGGTTCTGGGGTCGAGGAGAACATGCTGTGTGGTGGGTGGCTGGGCAGGAGGAGCTGGGGGGTCTTTCTGGCCATATGCTCCCCACATTCTAGCACGTTTTTGTTGATGTGTGTCATGTGTGTCCTCTCGCTTGAAACGAGAGTCCTAAAGGCTTCGGGCTTTGTTTATCAAAGCATTTTAGCTTTGTAAAGGTGAGAAGAGAAAGGATTTAAAGAGGCAGTGAGCTAATCTGTGGAGGCTGATCTTTGCCATGGTTGGCTGAAAGTGTTTTTCCACAGTTTAATCCTTCTTTCTTAGCTGTTTCCTTTCCCTGTTCTAATTTGTTACTAGGATGATAAATAGTGGTTGTCAGAGCCTGTGTAAGCTTTGCTTTGCCTAAAGAAACATGGGCCTGTTCACTGCAAAGGAACAGTTTTACCAAGAGTGGCTTAAGAATGGTTTTAATGAACTTCATCAGGCAACTTTGCATAATACTGCCCATTAACTCTTTGTGTTGGAATACTCGGTGTTGCCTGTTGGGAATAGGAGTCTCCTGCCCCCACTGAAGCTTTTGGTGCCTTTTTGTCCGACAGGGAAGTGTCAGCAGAGTATTAAAGGAGGTGCAAGAGCCTGTTTGTATCTTTTACAAACATAGTTGTGCCTTGTGGGCATGTGTTTGTCCTTCCTGTGCTGTAATTCAGCTCCTCAATAAGTAGGTGTTTCCTCAGTCTTGTCATTTGAATTACAGAGCATGTATTTTGAATACTGCTGTGAACCTGGCCAGTTTGCGTGTCTGAGCTCTCCAGAGAGTCACAGTGGCCTGCTAGAACCTAGCCTGCTAGAAGAAATGGCCGAGTCTCAGCAGGTTGGATGTCAAAGCACGGCTGACTAATGGCAGCACATCATTTGGGATTGTTGGAATGGAAATGTTCGTATGCTGTTTCGGTGTTTAAATCCTTTGTGTTCCTATAATGAGGGCTGCTGTTAGTGGCTTCTGGTGCTCGAATCAATACAAACTGGGTACAATAAATGCATTGCTGTTCCTCTGCTGCTCTTCCTCTTCCCTCTCCCCCGCTCAATTTCAACAGTCTGGAGGCTTTTTTTCATGGCCTCATTGTTGTCTCCGAACACATCTCTTGTTGTGGCATGTGTTGTAATCTGGAGGCTGCAATACAGGTATGACTTTGGTATTCATCCCGTTACGTTTCTTTGCATCCTAATCAGATTAGATCAGTCCCCCCTCCCAACAGAAGCTAAAAGGTCCAGTGTATTTTAATGCTGTTCTGATACAAGGCAGATGATACTGATTGTGTTTAAGTCTCTCTAAAGATACTACCTCCTAGTTCTAGTGCTGGGGGTAAAAGCCTTCCAGCATTTACATAATGAATACCTGGAACGTGGGCTTTTCCTATTAGTGAAAAGGGAGATAGGCAAAGAAAGCAGAGAGATCTGTTTGCTTCTTCCAGATAGGTTCAAAATAAAAGCATGAATAAACGCTTTAATAAAATAATAATATAAATAAAATAAAAGCATGAAAATACACAGAAAAGTACAGCAGAAGGCAAAATTATTTGTGTTTTGAAGTAGGAACTTGGTGGAGACATTGTAGGTGGGTTGTACAGGGGGTCAGTTAGAACCAACCTGTGCCCTTGAGAAGGTGTTGGCTATGAAATACTGTAAGGAAGGTGGTTGAAGAGCCTCTCTTTGCACCAGACGTTTGATTTTATCTAACCAGTTGCTGTGTTATCAGGGGAGGGGTCTGCACAGGTTGGAGGAAGGGGGGAGTAACTTTAACCTGTTAGGATTTATTGAGAAATATAGGAAGTAGTAAACCGTGTCGTTTTGTCAGTGGAAGCATGATTTGCTCACATTTTAGGTCTGTATTGGTTTATCAAACCTGCAGCACTTCCTTTGTGCTGCTTATGAGCGGGGAATCTCTTCTTTACCTTTTTGTGTCCTAAGCTAGTACACATTTATCAGTTTATCCATTTTTCTGTCGGAGCAGACTCTTCTCAGCATGGCACATCCATAGGCATCTGCAGATGCTGAATAGATCCCAGTGCCTGGTGAGGAAATGTTGTCAAACATAGCAGCTTCACAGCTGGCCATGCCAGCATCATGTCATGTATTTGTGAGGGCTAGTGGATTCCTAAATGCTTGTCTTTGAGCAGTGAGTCTATTTGTCTAATTTTCAACCAAAGTTACGAGCTTCAGAGGGGGGGAACACGTTCCAAAATGCTATTCTCTTGTACATAACCCTATAGGACCTCACAAAAAGATACAGGTGTTTCATAAGTGCAACATAAGGCTGTTTGCTTCAGAAAATGGCTATTGGGCTCTTCACTTTTAACTGTCCTGTCTGGAAGCGGGTGGTGGACCAGTCAAACAGGTTGTACGAGCCTGCAAAGGGGGTTTCATTTCTACAGGCGGATAAATGGCTCTGTCAGGCATGGCAAAAGGGAAGGTAGTGCTGGATGTTGTAGTTATTGAATAACCATGAGCCTGCTTCCTTGGTGTGCTAGGTTTTTGTAGATAATTTTGTTTTATGGCTTTCTAAAAGTGATTTACGAGCTTTATGCGCACGCTACCAGTGAAACGCTTTTGATTTGTGTCAAGTGGCAAAGGGCACACCCTGCCTTCAAAACAGGACAAGGAAATTTTAACAAAAGACTTCGCAAAATTCCTCCTCTTATAGAAAGTTCCAAAAGAACTTTAACCCATTACTTCAGAACAAAAAGAAAGCGGCTTCAGCGATGCTACCAGTGCAGTGGCCTCGCTGCAGACAGGAAGCTGGAGAACAGTAAAAATAAAGCTTAATGTGCTCAGCTTTGGGGATAGGAGTTAGAGGGGGGGTGTCACTGCATGGAAGGAAGTTTACAGCGGCTGCAAATCAAAGCATGGCCGCAGCTTTGTGGTCCACACTTGTAGTTTACTTCTCTGGCAGCGGGAGATTTAAGGGGCAGATTCAGACTGAGCCTCCGAGGTGGCTTGCTGCGAGGTCCTGGACCAGGTTAACCATTTCATGCCCAGAGTCACCACTGAGTTTTAATCTGTGTAACTACAGTATCTACCAGTTAGAATGGATGTGATCCATCCTTTCTACAGCCTTTATTGGAAGCGAGGCCCTTTAGAGAAGCTTATGGTCTCCGAGAGCAACAAAATGTTCACAGACCTCTTCAGGTTTGCTTGTTGACATCAAGGGTTTAGTATCATAAGATGGAATCAGCTAAGAGTAAAGCTTGGCTTGTGCATATAATTGCTACTCAAGCAGGAGTATGTAAAATGCTGTTGCAGTATGAAAACACACTGCCTGGACCTATTGCACCTCCAAGCAGCAGGATGTGCAGATCCCAACATGTTATTTGGAAAGCCTTTGAAGTGCAGTGCTGTGGATTCAGTGTGGCTTTCCACTGAAAGTTAGAGGATGTGTAGGTCCAGGTCAATGGAGAGAGATTTTCCTTGGGTTTCTTTTTTTCTTTTCCTCCTTTCTCCCCCCCTTTTCCCCCCTCCTTGATGGTTGTTTGTAGGGAAGAACCTTTTAGTGAGGACCGGATGGATTAAGCTTTGGAGTGTCTTGAGCTGTAATCATTAGCTGGGCAGTGAAGGCAGTAAAGGAAAGAATGTTTATTTGCAGCTTTTTGCTTTGAGACTTTTGTACTGGTTCTTTTAGGAGTGCTGTAATCTTAACTGTTCTCTTGGGGGGGGGCTTCTGATGGCCTGAGGCGATACAAAGGGTATTTTAATGATCATGGTACTTGGCCAGGGCTCAGTTCCCAGGGTGGTTGTGATCTCCGAGTTGGAGAAAAATCACACTGAAAAATTGTCTTAATTTCGCAAAAAGTGGGAACTCTTCAACAGAGGTGCAGTAAATATTTGGGAGGTTCTCTGCTTTTAAATCTTTATTAGAAAAAAAAGGCATCTCTAAGATAGAAGGGAAAGGAATCTGCTGCCCTTCTCCTGCTCTGCAAGCAAACAGGGAAATGCTGAAGCAGAGCTCTGATGATGTGATGCTATAACAGCTTCCGACTAAAGCCTGCTTCTGCTGATATATCCAAGATCCATTTACTCTGTTGTAAATTAGGAAAACCATTTTAGAAACCATTCTTAGGCCACATTTGGATTTCTGTTCATCCTTCATTTAAGTTTATTAGACTTCGAGGGACCCTCTGCAGCTGCTGTTTGAACTTCAGCGTAAGTGCGCACATGCAGAGCTCACTAATGATTCCGTTAATGAGAACGGTCATAGAGAAGGGAAAACGACCAGGCAATGGATTTGGCAAGTATTTTTCTTTATCTTCCCATCATCTGGGTAGACACTGAACCCTTTGAAGTACGTGGGAATTCTTCAGGATTTTTCCAAGGGGGTTTGAAGACCCTCATGTTGGTAGCACGTTCTTGCTGGTTAATGTGAGAGTTGGTGTGTATGTGCCTGTGTTTGCGGAGTGAGGAGCCAAGACCTTGGCTCCCAGGTGAGCTCAGGGTACTGATTTTGATGTAAACCAGGTGTGCTTACCACAGTTATTATTAGAGGTATAGTTTGTACAAGAAATGGCTTCTTTAGGGCCCTTGGTATCCACCAAGCAACCAGCAGGAATCAGTGTGGTCTGAAGCTGTTTGACGCTTCAACCTATTTTCAGCAAATCTAATGGCCTGGGCTGGGAGCCTGCAGGGCCTGTTCCTACACAACAATGCAACTACACCAGGAAATCAAGCTGCTGGATATGAATTCTGGAAAAGACTGCTGTGCAGCTGCTTGATGTTGCGCGTTGAATGAGGCATGTGGGATGCATTCATGTAAATACTGAGTGTACTGTAAGGCTCTGCGTGGTTCGCAGGAGAGTCTCGTTTGCCACATACTGAGTTTTCATCTTGAAATGCAGAATACAAGCTAATCCCAGGAAATAGCATCTCAGTGTTTGTAATACACCAGTAATACGCAACATTTGCAATGTTGGGAAGGGGGGAAAAAGGGAAAAGCTTTCTTCCATTCTGCACTGCAAATGCAGAGTGTTGCTGTGGCAGGTGGAGCAAAACCAGTGAGGCGCAGATGATCCCCAACATGCATACAAACTCCAGTGAAAGTGCCCTTGGAAAGTTCAAAAGCCCAGGATATCTTCCCATTCAGCCCCTGCAATATGCATATTGAAAGGGTTTTACAAAACAAGTCATCCTTTTACCGTTGCTTTTAATCTTTCCTTGGGACCCAAATTGTTCCTGTGAGTTCAGAAGTTGTTCCTTCTCTAAATAAGGGATTATGCTTTTCTTAATATTTATTCTTATAGTTCACTTGCTTCCCAAAGGAGACAGGACCTGGATTTTAGTGAAAACAGAATAGTGGGTATGGCTCGTGAACCTTCTTTCTTAGGAAGACTGGGATGGTTTTAAACAGGCAGTTGTCAGTATCCTTGTCCATGTGTTGCTTTTGCAGTGAAAAGCCATGCCTGAGTTTCTGATGAACAATATGTTAACTTCAGGGACAAATAGCTTAATTTCTAACCCTCTGATCTCACGATACAAAAACTGAGTGTAACACTTATAGTGGCTTAATTAATCCCCAGGAGCGACTGTTTGAGTCCTCTGACTTAGGGTGCTTGCGAAACTTCTTCCCTTTTCCCAAAGTCTGTCTTGTTTTCAGGAGGAGCCGAAAAAGGTGTGCTTCACATACGACCTGTTCTTAAATTTGGAGGGAAATCCACCTGTGAACCACCTTCGCTGTGAGAAGCTGACTTTCAACAACCCCACCAAGGAATTCAGACGCAAACTCATTAAGGCTGGAGGGGTAAGTGCCAAAGGGACTGGAGGTCTGAGAGGTTCTGCTAAACTGAAAAGGGGGAGATTGAGCTGAGCTCTTAGGCAGAAGCTCTTCCCTGTGAGGGTGCTGAGGCGCTGGCACAGGGTGCCCAGAGAAGCTGTGGCTGCCCCATCCCTGGCAGTGCTCAAGGCCAGGTTGGACACAGGGGCTTGGAGCAAGCTGCTCCAGTGGAAGGGGTCCCTGCCCATGGCAGGGGTTGGAGCTGGATGAGCTTTAAGGTCCCTTCTAACCCAAACCATTCCATGATGCCATGGAATCATGGAGTGATCTTGTTCTGCTCTGGGGTTCCTCTGTAGCTGCAGCCCGTCAAGTGGCAGTGTTACTCCTGGTTATATGACTGTGGCCCTTGAAGGAGAACTAAACCATTGCTGGTGTGATTGGTGGCACTTCATGCTTCAATTGAAATGTGACCATTAATATCAAAGCACTAAAACCTCTCCTGGAAATGGAGATCTGTGGATGTTGCACACTGTCCATCAGTTACACAGTTATCTGTGACCTTCCTGAGCTGTATCAGTATAGAAAAGCTCAAGGTAGAGGCTTCCAGTCTATTCCTCACTTGAATTTTTACCACAGGAAAGCTTAATACTTAGTGCTTGCTGATCAGTAAATGCCCTCTAAAGCTGAGGTTGGCTGCTTGTGGCTAACAAAATGAAAATATAAGGAAAAATGTTTGAATATAGATTAGAAATAGGTGTGGAAGGAAAAAAAAAAGCTATGCTCTTGAATGCACAATAAGATACAGATTGCTACAGTGGATGAGCTCTGCTTCTCGGAAAGTAATATTCTAAAGAGATGGTACCTAAGTAACTACAAGACCTATGCAAATTAGTACAAGCCACAAAGCACCTGAAGGTTTATAAGCAGGCAGAGGAAGACATGACTGTGTTCTGAGAGACCCCCGTTCATCACAGACTCATAGAATGGGTTAAGTTTTGTTCAAGGTCTTTATTAAAGTTGTAATTCTGGCAGAATTGTCTTCTGGGGAAAACAAAACCAACATGTTTCAGGCTTGGAAATGTTTGTTGATAGTATTCAGGAATGGCAAGTATTCCAAGCTGATCTGCCCAGCTCTTCCTCAGTGTGCCAGTGCTTTTCTGTCCTCAGCACAAAGAAGAAGGTGGTTATTTTAGCCGTAGCATGGCTAAAACATCACTTGCTTTCTATGGTTTTCATAGTACTAGGGTTTTCATAGTTACTGTATTCCTTACACATTGAGGTGTTTCACCTGTGATTCGCTTTGGATGCCATTCATCTAGTGGGAAATTTGGACAGGATTATTCTGGTGCAGTATAGGGGAGGTAAGGGAAGTTTCATGAGCTGGGTGCTTGGTGCTTAGATCTTGTCAAGGGGGGAGACCCCAAAGCCTGAATGAGTGAAGTCTTGTTCATTCCTTCAGATTTATCTTGCTACCCTTTTGCAGGATAAGAGCATTTACAGCAGAACACACAGTTCTTGCCCAGAGCTTTATTGCCTGCTTGTGCTCAGAATATTGGCATTCCCTTGGGGAAAGTTACTTGATATTGCATGTTGCTTTTCTTTTTTCTGTGATTTTAGTGTTCTGTATTTGAGGAGTTGCCTTGAAACCGAGCATTGCCTAGACAATATCTTTTTATGGCCTTTAAGCAGGGAAAAAAACATTCAAAAGATGAATAATAGTGTGTTAATTGAGCAAGTGACTTAACATCATCCCGTGTTAATAGTCCGTGTGACTTCACTCATACATCATTTTTCCTCTCTTTATTACTAGGTAATGGTGATGCCAGAAGGAGCAGAAACTGTTTCAAGGCCAAGTCCTGATTATCCGATGTTACCCACGATACCACTCTCTGCCTTCTCTGATCCCAAGAAGACCAAACCATCCCATGGGTCAAAAGTGAGTGAAATGTGCTTTTTGTCCTCCTGAGGTGAAGAAGTCTTTCAGGACTGGCTGCTAAGAGCTTGTTTAGAAGCTGTTTCTGGCTACTTCTAATTCTGAAACCTTCCTTGTACTCCATAGGCCAGTAGCTAATGATCTGGAACTTAGCCTCAGTTAGGAGGCCTTTGTAGGATTTGCTGGAGTTCTCTCCAGGGAAAACTCAAAAAGAAAATGAAATGTCCAAGAATGGAAATTTTCAAACCGTATCTTCCTCCTGATCTGCTCTAGCAGATAAAGTTGAATGAAGTCCTCTCTGATCGTTCTGACTTGTAGCCCTGATGCTGAGGGTGGATTACATGATCGTTCACTGTCTTGTCAGGCAAAGCTGTACTCTTAGGTCCTCACATCTCTTAGGACAAGGGCTCAGTAGAGATTTGATGCTTCCTCTGTCATTAGAACTGCTTAGGGTAGTGGTGCAAAGAACATAAAACAGGCTGCACTTGGTTGCACTAATGATTTGAAGACTTGGTGTTTGTGTCCAGCAGTATCTAGTTCTTGAGACTTCGGAAGAACCTTAAGTTTTCTTTTTTCCACTTACAATGAAGCTATTTTTATACAATTCTACATGGGAGAAGCAATCCATCAGCAGTGTTTTGATGTGGATTATATCCACTTTATCTGCCTGAACAGCCAGATATTAGTGGCAGTTCATTTTATAGTGTAATTCAATTCTGATAGCCATTTTCTTCAGGGTTCTAAACGCTTCTGGCTCTTCAGTCCTGCTTTCTGATGTTGATGTTATGAAAAGGAATAGAGATGACTTACCTGTTAGTGGCCAATTTAATTTTGGTTGGGAATTAAGCATTAGAAAACACAGAAGATAGAAGAGAAATCAGAGGCTGTGGCACAAGCTCTGGTGAGAATTGCAGTAGCTAAAGAGACAACAGGTTCCTGGTTCTCTTCCTCCAGGTTGCCCCCAGAGGTGCAGTTGTGTTTGCATCTCAGCCTGTCCAGTTCACACACCAGTGTCTCCCCACAAGACCCACTTCTACAAGTGTGCATGTCGAGTTCACATGCAGTTCACAAAGGGAATTACTCTTGTCCCTTCATGGGTAACCTGTCTCTTAGGATGGTCAGGGTCCTGCCTACTGTCTTAAAGCACTTACTAAAGGTGATAAAATGCTGATATCAGAGACTTTGTGCCCCTGATGGTTGTGAGGACATTAAGTATTTTTGCCAGTTGCAGAGAGATTGATGCAGTGAGCTGGTGGCTCTCAACATAACTTGTATTTGCCATGGATGGGATTTAACCTTGAAGTGTCTCTTCAGTTGCTGTTTTTTTTTCTCTAAAATGTGATGTGAATACAAGTTTGGGTAACACAGCCAGAGTGAGCTTCCTCTTATCCGGGTTCAGATGTTAACCCTGCAGATTAAATCTGAACTAAACATCTGTAGATGCTTATAGACCTCCTTTTATAGACCATGGGAAGGAACAGGCTTTTGTGAAGCGAGTTTCATCTTGTCCTAGTGTAGATGTTCAAGTGCCTGCTGTCGGTCTCACCTTTAGGGAAATCTAGATGTTTAGCTCTGCGGTAGATAAGTACATTGGGCATCTGTTGGGTGGATGTCTATGTGAAACAAATGCTTCCATGTGATTTATGAGAATGTGTTTGATGATGCTGTGCTTTATGGTGAGCTTCAGTTTCATACCTGGCTTGCATGTTTCTGTTGCTGAATTTTAGGATGCAAACAAGGAAAGTAGCAAGGCATCCAAACCACACAAAGTAACCAAGGAGCACAGAGAGAGGCCAAGAAAAGACTCTGAAAGCAAAAACTCCTCCAAAGACCTTGAAAGAGAGCAAAACAAGCCTTTGAAGGACTCCTCCAGAAAACCAACTGAGAACAAACTGCCTAAGGAGGAGAAGGCGCCTCCAAAAGCTGCTTTCAAGGAACCAAAACTGGCCGTGAAGGAGACCAAACTGGAGAACACTTCTCCAAAGGGTGGGCCACAGCCGGAATTAAAGTCTTCCAGCAAGAGGCCCTCTAATGTGGAGTCACCAAAGCCTAGTGCCAAAAAACAGAAAAAGAGTAGCTCCAAAGGGGTAAAGAATATCCTAGGGACATCTCCCAGAACCTCGTCTTCCTCATATCCAGAGAAGAAACAAACCAAGGAGAAGATGAATGCCAAAGTGGAAAAGGTAAAACCTGAAAGCGAGGCCAAGGAGATCAAAAAGCCTGTGGAAATGGAGGAGTCGAATTCAGAGGATGAAACTTCTTTCAAGTCAGAGGTGAGTAGGGATTTATCCTTTACCAGAGTTTTTAAGCACGCTGCTTCAATCCCTGCATGACAAAGCCGTTCAAAACTACTCCTTCACACGAGGTAGAGAACCTGACTGGCAAATGCTGAGACTGGGTTGTACCTCAAAACTCCTCTTTGCAAACCTCCTCAGTGTTAATCATTACTACTACCTGCTTTGCCTCCTGTATCAGATATGCAGCTCTGTTTAGCTTTATCTGCAGGCAGGGTTACCTGAAAGTCAGAGTTTAAGGTTATGGCCTCTCGTTCATCCCTTGCAGTGACATTTATAGAGGCAGAGTAAGCATAGATACACTTCTACGTGCTCATGGTGGTTTTGAACGTGATCTTAATTCAGAAGAGGGGGAAATAATCTCAGTTTTGTTTCTGAGAAACAGAACCATACGAAAATACAAGTAAACCCCCTACTCCTGACATGGCCCATAAGAAATGTGCAATTGGCGAAAGCTCCGAGTCCAGCCACGTGCCATGAAACTGAAGTTGTGTTGTGAAACCTAAAACCAATTTATGTTATTGTGCTACTATTTTTAAAAGCTGTCTAAATATTTTTTCCTTTTTCCAGCTAAGGACACTCCTCATCCTCTGTCTTCTAAAAATCATTTCCCAAAAGAAGGCAAAAAGGAAAAAAGTAGGAGGGGAAAGACACAGCTTAAATCCAAACTGTCACTACTTTTTGCTCGCGTGTTTTGTATTTGTGACAAAGGCACCTATCTTCTAATAGGACTCACAGGATAATGGCACAGGAATTTTCGATCTGCTTCCTCCTGACTGCTTTTAGAAAGATTCCTTTAACTAGAATAAATCTTTTAGGGACACTTCGTGCTAGGATTTACTCAGCACCATGATGCAGTAAGAATTGATGTGTCTGTTCCAGAAAGGAGGTTTTGGCAAAGGGTTCCCAGTAGAAGAGCTTATTGGGGAAGTGTTAATTGAAGTTACTCTGCAAAGAGGCTTTTTCCAGCTTGTTTAAACGTGTGGCTTGTGCCTTAAAGACAGTCAGCAGCTCCTCTTTGCTTTCACCCTTATACCTGGAGTGTCAGTGTGTCTGTACCAGATCCATGGCCCTTGCTGTGAGCTTGTGCTCTGCTGAGCTCTGTCAAGCCCCAAGTGTCTTGTACTTCATTATTTCTTAGGTGTTATCCATCCCCTTGGGAGCTGCCAGGCAGCTGTAAGCTGATAGCAGCATTTAGACTGTTCTGTGAAACCACAGACTGGAGTTGTGGGTCCACAGCGGCTGCAGCAGACCTGTGTTACCCCCACCAAGTTTTTATGCTTCTGTGTCCTCTCTTGCACCAGCTCTTGTGTCCATTGGATGCTTGACAAGAGGTATTTGAGTGCTGGCCCAGAGGAGGGTAGGAATATTCAGTGTGATGGAGAGGGAACGTGGCAGCTGCCAGTCAGATCAGCTTAGGTTTCTGTGGAACTTGAAGCTTAAGGGTATAACTGCATAATGCATTGGCATCAGCAGGGAAGACTGAGTTCCTTTTCCACCCTGGGGGGTTTTTTGCTCCCAAGGCTGCAGTTTGCTGCTCCAGTGACTGCACTGTACAGCTGGTGGAGGATCTGTGTGGTAAAGCCACATCACTAAAGCGAAGGAGCAGCTGGAGGTGGACCGGGGCCCGGAAACTCTTAAATCAGCTTTGCTGCTGCAGCCAGCGTATTGTGCAACATGCTCTGAAGCTGCAGCTCCACGTTCAGAGTTGACATCTCTGCAGGCTGCTGTTGAAAGGAACAGTCTTGCTCTCATTTGTGCTGCTGGCACGAGAGCTCGTGTGACTTTGCAATGGGCTGGATGGAGGAGTTTCTCCTTCCATTTCAGCTCCTGCTGGAAGTTGGTTGTCCTTTTTTTTTCGCCTCCTTCCCCCATCAAGTCCAGTTCCCTGAGCTGGCCTCATGCTTGGCTGCCTAAATGCTGGTGCTGACAAAAGGGAGAGGCTGAGATGTGAGGACCGGGCTGCTTTTTTCCATTGTCGGCTTGTGCTTTTGTCATAGCCCGGTGACAGTAACTGCAGCCTGAGCAGCAGAGTGTGTCCAGCTGGAATAGCTGGCAGGGTTAATGGCAAAAGGAGAGATGAGGGTCTGTACAGCTTCCAGCTTCTCCTTCTTGGGGGTTCAGTCATTTTAAGGGGATACCCGCTAGATGATCAGGAGTGGAGGATGTTTGGGTTGAATCTGTGGGTAAGACACAAGAACTGTTCTCCCTTACCTTCAAAATACAGCTCTACTTTCATGTTGTAACTTCTCTAAACAGACAGGGCTGCTGCGGTGTGTTGATGGATCAGATTTTGGAACTGTTGAATTATTCTTGGCCACTGAATAATTCCCCTTTGTAATACCCCTTTTTGACACATTTCCCCGGCTGCTTACAGTGGAATAAATGAAACTCGTCACAATCTTTACAGTTAGGAAAGGGTGGTATTGGGGTGAAAGTCCTGCTGCCACTTCCACTTAATGCCCAAAGCTGCTGATGTGCCTCTGTCTCCCAGTTTATGTTTTTATAGTATTAACACTTTCTGTAATAAAGTTCACTGCTCAGCAGGAATGTGTGATTTTTGTAGCATCAGGATTTGGTAGTGGAAATAACAGGTGGGTTCCCAGGAATGGTGCAATGAAAATGAAATGCTACGTTTTGAGGGAATTACTTGGAAAAAAGGCAGGGTAATTTTACAGTACATTGAGAAGCTTCAAACCAGATCCTACTGAGTAACAACAAAACCTTCTTGAGGTTATTGTAAGAGGCAATGCTGTTGAGGATGAAATAGGTGCCTGAGCCTTCGCTGCCACCTCGTGGGCAATCAGGCTGAAGCAGTGATTCCTGGATGGTATCTGGGCTTACGCTAAAACCTTATCAAGTGCTAAAGCTTTGGTTTGGATGCTGCTATGGATTGTAGCTGATGATGTCTTTTAACCCATTCCGACTGCACAGTGTGCTCCTGACATTGCACTGACTGTCCACAGAGTTGGTTCCACTGGAGATCAGCAGGTTTCTGTTATGTTTGCACACTAAACTGGGAATACCACAGTGGATCCCTCAAATTGGTGTAGAAACAACTGTTTTGAGGGTATAGTAATGCATTAGAACTCATTTTGGAGCCAAGTGAGCTAGTTAGGATAGGTGTCCTTTCTGTGTTTCATGACCAGTACAAGGTGTGCAGAGGGTGAGTTGGTGAGTTACAGCAAATACACTTTTTAAGAGGGCTGTAGTAATTGTTCTAGGCTCTATGCTGGTCACCTTTACATTGCAAAGTGAGCTGTGCTTCTCCATTTCATGGGACCTGTTGAGGCTGCTGAGCTACAGTGTGCTAAAGTTTCCATAACTGCCATATTTATCCATCTTGTGTTTTGTATGTTTTCTGTAATTCCAAGGGCTGCATTCAGTGATGTACGATGTAGAGTGCTCATGTGCTTCAGTCTCACTGTGTTTTGTGTCATGCACTGCTTTTCTGGATTAGAAAGGTTAAGATTCTTTCTCTTTTGTTTCCCTTCTATGGGGGGTTAAGTCTGTCCAGTCCAGCCCTTCCAACTCCAGCTCCAGCTCCGACTCCAGCTCTGACTCTGATTTCGAGCCATCTCAGAACCACAGTCAAGGTGTGTTGCAAGAAATCAAGTTTGTTAAACTCTTCCTTGCGTGACCTTAAAAGGCTCATGAGAACTTAAACCATTTTCTTAGCACTTTATGTATAAGACTAATATGGTTTCTTGTGTGGAACCGTGTGTTGAAGCTGTAATGTTTCACCCGGAACAGACGATAACGTCCTGGTGTAATCATGAACAAGGATTTTTCTTCTTCTAGCAGTTAATTTATGAGGAGGGTGTCTCTCTGGGTTTGGTTCTTTCCCCGTTGACTTTGGCTTCTGCCTCAGTTTATAAATGTGTTGGCTGCTGCTTGATCTATAGTGCCACCAGAACAGTTCTCCTCCAATCTCTCATATGGTTTATTAAAAATCAGAAATGTGGCATTCATCACTTTACCAGTACATAACAAAGCTCCTTTTTCAGATCCCTCCACTGAGAGCCCCAAGAGATACACTGTGGTACCAGTAAATGTTCTAACCTTAGCAAATCCTGTGTTGCTGCAAATGCTGTCGCCTGAGTGACTTTTACAATAGCCCCCAAGCACATGAAAAATGTGTCCATTTTGTTCTCATTTCAGAGAGGAGATTTGGGGGAGGTTGGGGTGGCTTCACAGCAGTAGTAAAGTTTGTCAACCCTGTTTTAGTTTGGAGACTGGAATATAGTCTCTTAGCAGTGTTTTTGTGCAAAATGGGAATACCAGTGACATCTTACTGGGAAATCTTAATGTGTTAATAACAACTAATGCAGTTGAGATCAGCTCAGATGAAGTTCACTCTGTGTATCCTCATGAATTGCTTTCTCCACTCTGATCCCAGGCCCATTGCGCTCCATGGTGGAAGATCTGCAGTCAGAGGAGTCAGATGATGATGACAGCTCCTCCGGAGAAGAGGCAGCAGTCAAAGCAAACCCAGTCAGCCGGGATTCCAGGTGGTAACAAATCAGGAAGAAAAAGATGTTTGTTTGTCTTCTTTCCCCTCCATGTTTGGTATTTCTGTGTGCCCTCCATTTGGAGGGAGGAATCAAAGTGATGTGTTAAAGTGTGAGAGGAGGAGAGAAGGGGCAGATGTGTGGAGGACTTGGCATGGGGTGGGGACAGAGAGCAGATGAAAACAGCAGGGTGAGAACAGAATTGGATGAGGAGGGATCACTGGGACTCAAAGAGAGGAAGGCCCTGGGAAGGGATCTGTGAGCTTGCAGGTGTTAGCGACTGAGCCCCTTAAAACAGTCACCTAATTGTCATCTTCAGATCTCTGCAGAGCAGGATGGTGTGTGTCACCTTTGATCTGCAGAGCTGAGAGGAGTGGTGTGGAGGCTGTCAGCATGTGAGCTCTGCTCACCACACAGGGCTGGTATGAAATGGAGACATTGTGGTCTTTGCTGATGGTTGGTTACTTGACTCCTACAGGACTTGGTTTACAGCCATTTCCTGCTTTAGTCAATGGAAATAGTTGAATTCATCTTTCTCCCCCAGGAAACGCTGTTGTAGGCAAAACCCAGAGTGTCAGGCTGGATATTTGAAACCAAATGCTTGTCCCAGACAGCAACTGCAAGTTTGAAGTGATGCTTTTGTTCACCAGCTCCCCCCTCCAAAATCTATTGTTGCACTCTTGTTATCAACTGAACAGGAATAGGAGAGACTTTGGAGGATGTTTTTAGAGGATAGGTACCAAGCAGTTTGTCAGGCTCGTTAGAAGTTAGGATAACTGCTATAATCCAGCTGTAAGGGCACAAGAAGAATGAGAAGAAATAGGGGATCTCAAAGGTCACACCAGAAACAGTAAATGTGGTTTTTTGCCCGTGGTTTCAGTGGAGATGTTGGTAGGGCCTGCCCAGGGAATGGAAGATGGTGAAGGTGGTATCAGCTGGGGGAAAAAGGGAATTTTGGAAATCAGACTGACCATTTATCCCAGACAACTTGCTAGTCTAATGAAGAGAATTTCACTAAACTCTGTGGTTTAGCTGACAGCTGAGTTAGTTCCCCACTACCTGGTGATGCTAATTCTCTGCTGCTTGTCTTTCAGACTGAGCCTTAGTGACAGCGACAGTGATAACAGTGCAGATTCCTGCCTGCCGAGTCGAGAGCCACCTCCTGGTCAGAAACTGCCCCCTGCAAATAATAAGGTACAGCATCATCCTGGGTGCCATACAGGGCTGCTTCCCACCACTTTTGGTTCCTGCATTGTGTTCAGTCTGTGGTGGCACCAAATCTTCCCTGTTTCACTCTTTATCAGACCCATAGTTCCTGTCTCTTAGTGCTGTGTGTCCAGACCATTAACCCACTGTGTTTTCAGCATTAATTTTGGTCCCTAACATTGATTTCTTTTACCTTTAGGCATCTGGAAGAAAAAGCCCAGAGTCTTGTAACAAGCCAGAGAAGATCCTGAAGAAGGGCACGTACGATAAGGTATGTTTGAGGCTTTGTGCATTAGAACTGTTGGATGCTTGCTTACATTTGTGTGTAGAGAACAGTTTGTGTCAGCTGAGCCTGTTCACGTGGTTCTGTCTGGGCAGGTTAAACGTTTGAGTATAAGGAAAACCAGTTGTTGAAAGGCCAGGCTTTGGAGAGTGATGCTGCTGAGGCTGTGTATGTTAAATAGATGTACCCCCAGGGTGTTCCCATATGCAAATGTTAGAATTGCTTTAGTGGTTTGCCCTTTGTCTGAACCAGTGGTCTGGCCACTGCTGCAGTGGTGAGGCCTCTTCATTCAAAGTCCGTTTTCATCTGTCTTTGATCTGACACATGAAAGGTTGGTTGATGCTCTGCTTTGCTGGTTGAGTTGAAACCTTGTTTGTTCAGTGCAATGCCCTTCTTTGTAGCCTCTGAGGGAAGCAGAACAGTGTGTGTGCTCCTGAAGCACGGCTGAATGGCAGGCAAATCACCAACCACCAAGCTGTCCAGAGGCTTCTCCCACTGTGTTCTTTCTCATAAAGAAATCAATCAAATGGGAGCTTAATACTTTTCCTTAGTCTAATCATTGGGGTCCTTGCAGTAACCAGAGGATCAGAATGTAGCTCTTGTGTGTGTTAACACTTCAAACATGGGAACACAGCACAGGCTCATGGCTTCATTTAAGGTGTGAGTTGGGATCCTAAAGATACTTGCACCCAAGTCTCCTGCCAGCCACAAAACCTGATGCTACCCACAGCTCGGGTGGCTTATCTAGGACAACGTCTGTAGGTGGTAGTGTCTTTTATTAGATTCCTTAATGCACATGGTAGGGGACACCCTTGAGACACACTGAAGAAAGTGCCTGAAACACCATCCGCTTGTCCAGAGGTTTCACAGAAGACAGTAGCTGTCCCAGCAGCATGGCATTCAGTGAGGGTGTTTGGTGCTTTTTTCTGTGTCAGTGTGCTGGGGAGGGGGATGGTTCACACATTTTGGGGGGAGGGAAGCGAGTTTGGGGTTACTGTACTTTTTTCCCTTGGTACAATTACTTAAACGAGTTCAGTTTTGCTGATATAGACATGAACAACTCTGAGGCAGCTTTACAGATTAAGACTCCATCCCCTGTGAGCAGTACTGCACTGGCAGAAACGTGCCTGGTTGGCTGCCTAAATTAAAATGAATAAGAAAACCCTGACACCCTTATATGAGAGCAGTTACTGCGCTGAGCATGTAACCAACCCTGCAGTTCCCCCTGCGTAAGTAAAACTACCCATGAGTACAGCACACCCAGACTCTTTCCTTCCCTAAAACACAACTCGGTGCTCAGCAGGTTGCTGGGAACTGATGCAGGTATTTTCAGGTAATGAGTAATTTATTAGTGCAACCTGCTGATGAGGAACTTGCACTGAAGTTCACCAGGGTGGACTTCACCTCGCTGAGGTTCTCTAAGCTCAAATGTTCTAACCACTTCTTAAAGCATTTGGTTAATGGTGACATTGAATAATCTTGCTGGTGGTCTTCAGACCATCTGTATTTCATGGAATCCCAGCCTGGTTTGGGTTGGAAGAGACCTTAAAGCTCATCCAGCTCCAACCCCTGCCACGGGAAGGGACCCCGTCCACTGGAGCAGCTTGCTCCAAGCCCCTGTGTCCAACCTGGCCTTGAGCACTGCCAGGGATGGGGCAGCCACAGCTTCTCTGGGCACCCTGTGCCAGCCTCCCACCACCCTCAGTGAAGAACTTCTTCCTAATGTCTAATCTAAATCTTCCCTCAGCTTGTGAAGTCTTTATGTGAGTCTGTGTGCAGTCCTCCAGTACTTGGTAAGGATGGAGGAGGCAGTAAAAACTGAGAAAAAATTGGGACTAGGAGCATGTGTGAAAGGGCCTCGAGTTCTTCTGATCCTCACTGGAAGAGTCACTTTGGCAGTCACTCAAACATGCCACGTATGTCACTGTTTCTGTTCCTGCCTCCTTTACAGGCCTACACTGATGAATTAGTGGAGCTTCACAGGCGACTAATGGCACTACGAGAGCGCAATGTGCTACAGCAGGTAGAGATCATTTGTCAGCTCTGGCAGGCTGTTGTACTCTAACCTTTGTGTCCAAGGGTCTCAGCTGGACCCCTGTGATGCTTTCACTTGCCTCTCCTGCAGGAGAGGGTCTGCTTCTCATTGAAAGCAAAGATACATAGAAAAGAAAACACTAAATCAGCTGTGCATGCCATGGTTTTGTTGGAAAAGATGCACAAGTGTGGTTTATGCATCTCTGCCATCCCAGTAGCAGTCCCAAAGCTGGGCTCTCTCTGCCTAATTTAAAAGGGAAGAAACATGCCCATGTCCCTTCCTGGACTGAGCTAGTGCAGGAGGTTTGCTTTTTTGGGAGAGGATTCCCTTCATGTTGTGAGACATTCTCCTCTCTGAGGCTTTCTAGAGGGGTGAGGGAAGGACGGGGCTGATTGCTCTGTATCTGCTCTGTGCAGTCTTCATAGCTCCCTGTCCACATCCTTGCTTGTCTCCTTTCTGCACAGATTGTAAATCTCATTGAAGAAACCGGGCATTTTAACGTTACCAACACAACCTTTGACTTTGACCTCTTCTCCTTGGATGAGACGACCGTCCGCAAGCTGCAGAGCTACTTGGAAGCGGTAGCGACATGACGCTTGGCCTTGGCAGCAGCTGCTTTTGAAACCAGAGATCCCCTTGATTGGTACCAGGAAACGAACCCATGGAACTAGGCCTTCTTATTCTCCTGATTCACCCGAAGCACTGCCTTAGAGAACAGCCATGCTCTATGAATGCACAGCCAGCTGCACTTTCTTGTAGGCTTCAAACAAGCACCCGTATTGCTGAGTCTGTCCTCCCTGGCTTCCTACGTACGCTTGGGCGCAGATCCTGAGTAGAGCAGAAGATGTGCTGCACTTAACCTCCCGGCGCGACCTTTCTCGTTCTACTTCAAGCAACTGTGTTTGAAGAGCACGTTTTGAGGCGTCTCTGAGGTCTGAAGAAGTGTGGATGATGTTTTCTTCACCAAATCTAGGGACCATCTGCCTGCGGAGAGCTCCAGCGAGTCCCGTTGCCTGCAGCTCTGCGAGGAAGCGTTGATGCTGTGTAAGTAAGATTGGCTTTTACAAAGCTTAACCCGAGAGCCTGATGCCAGAGATGGGTCCCGCTGCTCTGCTGCAGAGGAGATGGACAGATCCCAGTTGTGATCACTTGCAAGCTCGTTCTGGCGTGGCTCGGTGCAGAGCACTGCTGTAACGTGGCTCCTGATCTCTCCAGGGCATCGTTCCACGGGCAGGACCTTCAGCTTCCTGCAGAGACAGTTCGTGCTCTTTGAAAAGGCCTCTAGAATCTGCTGTCTCCCGCTGGGGTTTGGAGATGTCTTGTTTTGTTGATCTGAGCTCCTAAACAAAGTCTCACTCCTTTCAGTCTGCTTTAACTGTAATAGGACTACAAAACTGTAAGCTGTATATTTTATATATATATTATATATATGTATGTACTGTATGTATAAGAAGGGCCTAGTTGGGTCTTATGATCTTAAGGGTGTGTTTTTCTGTTCTCTTTTCTAAAGGCTCTGGCAGGGGAAGGGCGCTTAAGAACATTTGACTTGTTTGTTAAAATGCCTCTTGTGGACAATTTCTAGTGTGTGGAAGCCCAGCAGCGATCTTGGAAGCGTTCAGTGCTTCGGAAGGGGCTCACCTCTCGTCTCCTCACTTGTCAGTGTTGATGCTAACTTTGCCAAAAGACGCGATTGGTTTTGTTCTTATGTTCTCAAAGAGGAATCTCCTACAGTGGCCCCTATAGTAGTGGCTGTACTTTGGGAAAACCAAAACAAGGGAGAGTTTTATCTTCGGACACAGCTGGAAAACGCTGACGTAGGAAATGGGTGAAGTTGGGTTTGTTTCCTCCTCCCTCTCCCGCCCTGCTGCCTGTTCAGGATCCAGTAAACACTAATCCCAACCCTCTCCTATGTTTCTAGTTAAACTAGTGTTGGCTTCCAAGTGTTGTCTAGGTGGGTGTGTGGAAAGCTCTCATTGAACCCCTACTGCATTCCCACTCCCAAAACCCAGTATTTTCTTGAAGAATTGCTCAGTTTTCCCCATCAGTGTCGAAGCTGTTGCCAAATGTGAGCTGGGCTGCGGGTGTGAGGAGGAGCGCGGTGTTCCCAAGGATCCCTCTGCTCCGAGGGGTCCCCCCAGCTCTGTGACAGCCCCATGGGGGAGCTGGGGGGGGGTCTGCTGTGTCCCTTCTCCACTCTAAAATCCAGTCCCTTGTTTTGGGTTCCCCCTTTCTTTATCATGGAAATGTTGCAACTAATCAACTGAAGTGGCAATATGATGATAAGCTTGTTTGAGTTGGGTCATGTTGACCCGATTCCCATTAATTTTGTCTTTGTACCATCTTTCATGTGTCGTGTGTGTGTGTGTGTGTGTGTGTATATATATATATGCATATATATATATATATATATATAAAAGAATCAAGCTCATGCCGGGCGCAGACCCTGTCAGACAGTGATCTCAGCTGTTCCCTTTCCTGATGGACAATGCCAAGCCTGGAGGAGGAGGAGCTGCGGTCCTGGCTCGGTGGCTCTGGGATGCGCCGCGGTGCAGGACGGCAGCGGCAGCCCACGAGGGTCCCCGCTCACCAGGGGCTGTGTTCGGTGCCGTGGGGATGTGTGAACCTCTCCCATCGGGTCTGTGGTGTGGAGGAGGTGAGCCCAGGGTGGTCGCTATGGACCCAGCAGGGCCTCCTGCCCGCTGCCCCTGGGGAAGGGCACAGCGGCATCACCCCTGTCCCCGAGGTGCAGCGGTGGCGGCCGGCCTGAGCCTGAGGTCTTTCCCTTCCTCTCTGTGCCCAGGGACCGTGCCCTGTGGCTCCTGGCAGCACTTCTGGGCCTCTCGGTGGCCTCTGGGCTTCCCCATGCAGGTGTGGAGGTGCCACCTCCCGTGAAGATGCAGAAGGGGCCGCGCTGCTCCCAGCCCGTCCATGAACACGCATGGGAGGGTGTTCCTGAACGCGGCTGGAAGCGCCCGCTCTGGCATCGTCCTGTCCTGGAAGTCCGATGAGCGGTGATAGGAATCCTGTTTGGTTTTTATAAGAAGTATTTTACACATGGATTTTTTTAGACTGTTTATAATCTCCTTGAAAACCTGAAATAGGATTGTTCCCCCCCCCCCCCCAGCAATAGTTCTTTTCCATTGTGTGCACATGCTGATTTGTTACTAAAAAGGTTTCTTGCAAGTACTTAGTTGTTCTACAGAGTTGTTGTTCTATGGGGTATGTGGTAGCGTCGGGGACCACAGGAGGAAATGACTCTGCAACCAAGGATCGGTCACATTCGGGCCTCATCTTGTGTCCCCTTCTAGTTGGGTCTGAGCGAGTTCCCTGTGTAGGTTCTCTGTAGGCTGGCTGGCCGCTGTTCTGAACATGCCGTGTACAGGTATTTGTGGATAAAGTGTTTGTTCTTGTGTCACTCTTGAGAGCATGGATGGAGTATTGTACTATAGGAAGGAGGTGGCGGTGCTGCCCTCAGCATTGCTTCAGGTCTTCGAGGATGTTGTAGTAGCGTTGTTAAAATGGGGAAAAAAAAAAAAAGGACAAAAAAAAAGAAAAAAGAGAAAAAAAAAAAAAAAAGGACAAAAAATAGCCAAAATTGACTTGTAGCCATAATGGTTTTCCAAGGAAAATGAACTCTGTTACGTCCCGGTGTCCTTCGTCTCGGTACTGAAGGCTTTCAGAGGAGTGTGAGTGGGTCAGGATGCGGCTCTTCAGCTCTCCCTTGGTGGTGAAGGGGCAGAAGAGGGGGTCAGGGCATGCTCCTGGTGTCTTGCTCTGTGCTTACTGACGTGATGGATTGCAGCGGCCGAGCGGTGCCCATGGAGCCATGGAAGTGCAATCAGTGCTTTGGCCACCAGTTCTTCCATTGCTGCTCGCGGTGGTAGCATCAGGACCAGCCCAAGCGATGGATGCAACAATCCCGAAGCGGTTTTTGGCCCATCTTGAACGGATTTGATGGCAGGAGAGGTTTAAACTTCCCTTTTGGAGCTTGCCACCAGCAGAGAGCCAGGTCCCTGGTTCTGTGTTACTTCTAAAGCCTGGGATCAGTGGGGTCCTGGTGTGCTGGGGCATGGAATAGCCATCAAAACCTGCCGAGACGAGTTTGCACTCCTAAAGCAAATGTAAGTACTTCACCTTCTAGATGACTCTTAATTGTATTTCTGCCTAGAGCCGAGGTATTAAATACCTTGTCACTTGAGGATGGTCAAGGTTGCGTTGGGAACGGGAATTCTTCACTCGGCTGTAAGAAATGCAGCTGGCCCAAGACTAACTTCAAGATTAAAAAGAAATCATGTTTGTAATAACGGTCCAGGATTGTTCGTCCTGAATTTTAAACTTTTTGTTAAATTTGTGGAACTATGGAGGAATTTTCTAGAAAAAGTGAAATAAAGTAAGATGGAAAAGTAAAATTTAGGGTGGTTTTGGTTTGTTGGGTTGCTTCTCTGTGGGCAGCAAGGATGGAGTTATGTAGGAATCCCAGCCTGGTTTGGGTTGGAAATGACCTCAAAGCTCTTCCAGCTCCAACCCCTGCCACAGGCAGGGACCCCTTCCACTGGAGCAGCTTGCTCCAAGCCCCTGTGTCCAACCTGGCCTTGAGCACTGCCAGGGATGGGGCAGCCACAGCTTCTCTGGCAGCCCCTGGTGATGAACAGCAGAGGAAGGGGAACTCCTTTAAGCCCTGGTGTTTGTTAACACATCGGTTTTAAAGCTGTAGCTTAAATCCTGCACCTTCCCTGGCATTCCAAGGGCACTGCAGCAGCAGAGGGGCTTTGCTGCTCCCCATCCCCTTGGCCCCTGACCCAAGCCAGGGCTGAGCATCACTGCAGGGTTAAGGACAAACAGCAGCGTTTATTGCGTGTTGCTCTGGCCAACAGAGCCCGTTGGGGTTCAGACAGGGGAACGAACACCCAGTTACAGTCATGGCACGTGGCTGGTGCAGAGCCCAGAGCAGACACGGTCTGAGGCTTGACTCCCACCCAAGGTGCCCAGGTCCAGGCACTGCCCCACAGCAGCTCTGTGGTACGAGCAGTGCTGCAGCTTCAGAGCTCTTCCTGGTGCTCCTCCACCTGCTCCTGCTGCTCTTCCTTTGCCAACAGGAAACACAGCTCAGAGGATCTGCGTTCAGGAATGGTTTCCAATTTGAAATAAGGCGTTTTCCAAGGGTTCCTTCATTCCCGGTGGGAGCAGCAGTCCTGCCAGGCGCTGGGCAGGCTCCAGTCAGCCTTGCGGAACCAGTGAGAAGAGAGCTCCTGGTACTGGGTGCTTCCCCCAGCATGGAAGCTGCTCTTGTGTGTCCTAAACTCTGGATTCAGAGCAAATGCCTCTGCCAGGACCGTGGGAAGAACAAAACCTCTGGAGCTGTGCCCACTCCAGGCACCATTTCTACAACGGTAAGACCACAGCCTTCACATGTAGTAGTCCCCAGCCTTATGAGCACTCCCCAGGCTGCTCATTTAACACCACAACTTACAGCTTCAGGATAACTTAGGAAGATAAAAGTATTGCACAAAGCCAGAAACACGAGGTTCCACGTGGTCCTTCACCAGCATCCATCCTCTGTGATGGAGGACATGCTGTGGGTAAAGGGATTGGGAACAACTCGGGTGCCACCAGCATGCAGTCAGACATGCAGAGGGATGGAGGGGGGACAAAGGCAAAGGGGGGCTCCCGATGGGTTTACATTCGGCTCAGGAACAGAAAACTTTGGTTGAAACACAACATGGCTGGAAGGTAAGGGTTGGATTTGCCCTTGTAAGAACGGAAGGGCAAGGATTGGGGAGCGGAGTCAGGGATGTCCGAGCAACACCAGCCACAGGGGAGCGCGGGGTGTGAACGCGCTCACTGCGCTGTGCTGCAGGGGCAGGACCTGCAGAGGGATGGGAATGGGAAGGGGCTGCGTGTGCCTGAGCCTCCTTTATTACAAGGGACCCCAGGGACTCCTTCCAGCCCCTTCAGTCCGCAGCCGCAGCCGTTCCCCTACTGCCGGAGGCCGTTGTGCGCCGGGCCCGGCCCGTCCAAGTCTGTGTAGAACTGAGCGATTTGGTCCTTGTACTTCTCCAGCACCACCGCTCGCTTCAGCTTCATCGTTGGGCCTGGGGGAACAGCACAGGGTGAGGGAGACTCAAACCTTGAGGAACCCCAGCCGGGTTTGGGTTGAAGGGACCTTAAAGCTCCTCCAGCTCCAACCCCTGCCACGGGCAGGGACCCCTTCCACTGGAGCAGCTTGCTCCAAGCCCCTGTGTCCAACCTGGCCTTGAGCACTGCCAGGGATGGGGCAGCCACAGCTTCTCTGGGCACCCTGTGCCAGCGCCTCAGCACCCTCACAGGGAAGAGCTTCTGCCTTATCTCCATCCAACCTGAACTTCCCCTGTTTCAGTCTGAACCCATCACCCCTTGTCCTATCACTGCAGTCCCTGATGCAGAGCCCCTCTCCAGCATCCTTGCAGCCCCCTTCAGACACTGGAAGCGGCTCTGAGGTCTCCACACAGCTTCTCTTCTCCAGATTGAACAGGCCAAGTGTTCTCAGCCTGGCTCCATGCAGGAGCTGCTCCAGCCCCTGATCATCCTCGTGGCCTCCTCTGCAGTTGCTCCAACAAAGGAACACTTGGAACCCGTGTGCAGACACTGACTTCAACTGCCTCTGTGCTTAATGCAATCTCTCTCCCTTCCCCAGGGAACAGGAGAAGCAGGACCAGCCTCAAGGGGCAACCCAGAACCACGCTTAAGTGCTGCTGTGCTCCCTCCTGCTGGTGGAAGCAGGGATTCATCCCACCCTCCCCAAACCATGACACGGAAAGCCCACGGGCAGCTCCATGGACCCAGCAGGGGTTTCAGGACCCAAGAAGGGCTGACGCAGTGACCCCAGTGCTCACGCACCAAGCTCTCCACTGAAGACAGAGAAGTCCTTCTCCAGCAGGGCCCATTTCTGGATCCTCTGGGCGTTGGAGATGGCGTTCTCATTGACTGCTGCAATCCCCTTCTGGATGGCGGCGTAGACGTCCTTGTCCTTGCTGCGGATGATCTCCGAGGCCTTGGTGGCCTTGCTGCCCAGCCTCTGACAGTACTCAAGGGCTTCTGGAGTGAGATCATCTCTTGGCTCACCGGTGTCTGCGTTTACATTGCACTGCAGGACAATACACAGGTAACGTGACCACTGCTGCAGCCCCAGGAGCTGGTAGAGGGGTGAGGAAAGCAGCAGGGTTTGGTTTCTCAGCCTCACTTTTAGGTCTTTTACTCCTCTTACAGAAACACTGATCCCCAACAGGACCAGGCGCCTCTCTGCAGCTCGGCTGTAACAAGTCCTACCCCACAAGGCCTCCCATCGCTACAGGAGGCTGTAAAATGTGGCACAGTTCTCTTCCTCACTGGAATTAAACCCTTTCAGTGACACAGGGGGATTCCCA